CATGAGTGCATGGGTGTTTTTTTTATTGGATGAGTTAACAGGCCACATTTGCAAACAGTGACATATCCAAGCATTTTTTTTTCATCACAGCAAACAAACAACAGGCCATACCCATGTGGAACCATGGGGGTATAAGGGTCTCAGAGTTATTCTCAATCTACCAGTATACATCACTAGCATTGCTCAGAATTTTGGGCCATATGAAAAGTCGGAATTAACTTTCCAAAATTATTAAATCCAGGACTCCATCAAGCAAACAACCAAATTTAGTCTTTAAATAATTAGAATTCTTTTACAACCCTGAAGTAAAATAAAATAAAAATAAGTCATCTCAAGAGTAAATGTGAAATTCCCCTAGCAAGACTTGTGCGGTTTTCTCTCTTCTGGCTGAGTCAGATTTTTTTCTTCATATGTGTTTGCCAGCCTGTGAACAGTTGTGTCACTCTGTTGAATGATGAGCTTCTCTGACCATAGACCTGTGTCCTTGGGCAAACACTTCAAAGAGCAGCTTTTTTTCTGCATCTTTCTCTGTCCTCTCTTTATAATTCTCACTTTTCTCAGAGAGATCTTCACCTCTTTTCTCTCTAAACTTCATCCTCCAACATCTCACTCCTCTCTGTCTGCTCCATGGGATGAACCCTCTATGGAGTTTGAGACATGGTGCCTTACGGTCTGAGAATGATCCTGTCATCTTGCGAGTGGAGAAGGGGGGCTAAACCATTTGCTCTTGACTTTCCAAGAATAAATTTGGGTATTCTGTTTATATAATCAAACAGTTTCAGTTTTGCCTCGACAGTCACAATTTGAGGACAAAAAGAAACGAGACATGTAGGTTTCAGACTCATCAAGCCCCTCCTCAGTACTCAGTCCCACTTTTCTCCCCACTCAGACTCCCTATTCCCTTAGTTTAACATGCTCCATAATGTCTTGAATGTGAATTTCTTCTTCTACTGCATCAATATATTCAGCACTGCTGCTTTAACAGAGGCAAAGAGAGGATCATCAGGAGTCTGAGCAGCGCTGCACACTGTGCAACACCTCTAATATGCAGGTCTTCATAACTGCATCTTGTCTATTTAAAGGGGAACTGTTTGAATACATACAGTGCTGAACGACACCTAACACCCACGTGGACTCACTTGGTATAATTTGCTTACCATAGTTCTTCTGAGCAAAATGTATAAGAACAACAAAGGATGACAAACTTATATTACTATAAAAACGATTTATAGAGGGATTAAAGTCATGCTCAACATGTTCATGTATCATAAATTTGAAAAAGTTGCAGTTTTTATTCGCACTATTGATTCAGCAGCAGCGTTGGTACAGTATATAGAATGGCTCTGGGCAAGAGGAGCCGCCTCTAGCTTCAGCACCATGGTCAGTGACACTGATACAGGCCAGCGTGAGTGCACTGTGTCCATGCTAGTTAGTGTGTGTGTGTGTGTGCATACACAGTGTGTCAACTTGCTCATTTCAAACTCAGGCTAAAAATAAATGTACTAGAGTTGATATGTATAATAATATCCTCTTGTTCGTAGTTGGTATTAAATTTTCCAATATCACGTCACTCTTTGCCTAACTAAATCATTCATTTGACTAAATCCAAACCTCACCGAGACTGAGAAGATACAGAACTAGACTTGTCCAAAGTCCTGTTTTTCCACAGTCTATGATAACTTGGGAGGCCATGTCATCTGCTGCTGTTGGTTTACTTTGTTTTATCAAGTCCAGAGTGAAGTCCACCAGGAGATTTTAGAGCACCTTATACTTCAATCTGCTTAAAAGCTCTTTGGAGATAAAGGTTTCCTCTTAATGAAGAACCAGACACCTGCCCACAGCGCCAAAATGACCAGAACCTGGTTTGCTGGCCATGGTATCATTGTGCTTGATTGGCCAGCCAACTCACCTGGCCTGAACCCCAAAGAGAATCTCCAGGGAATCATCAAAAGAAAAGAAGAAAGACACCAGAGTCCCTAACTCTAACCCTATCAAAGCAACTTGGACTTCAATAACACTCCATCAGTGCCAAAGTATGATTGCTTTGATGTCACGTTGAACCGATGCAGTAATCCGTGCAAAACAAGCCCCAACCAAGTCCTGAGTGCATAAATGAACATAATCTTCCAGAAGGTCAACATTTCTGTCTTATAGATATTTTTTCTTTACTTTACCCCCCATTTTTTTCTTTTTCTTTTTGTTAGTCACTGTTTGAGCTGTGGGCCATAACAATCAGGGCTCCAACAAATAAGTGTTTTCACTTTGTGTGTTGAATCTAGAACAGATGGAAGTTTCACATTTTTAGTTAACTTTGTGGGAAAAAATGAACATTTTGAGATGGTTTTGAATTTATTGAAAGCCAAATCAGTTTTTGAGCACATTCAATTCAGCAGTCTAGACTATACTCTTTGTTCTTTAAAAAAAGAAATAACATTATCACACTGTGACATACAGCATTCGGCAAATCTTGCAAAGAAAAGCTTTCCTTTAACAGGCAAGCGCCTCCAGTTTTTCTGATGAAAGGTCTTCCACCACATATTTAAGCTACCTCTTTTGCTTTTTAAGGTCTGTGTATGTCCATTTCTCTCCCATCATGAGAGGTGATGGAAAATGGCTCCATGTGAAAATGTGGATCTGCATGTCATAATATATGCACACACCAACCATCCCCGACAAAAAGAAGTGCTTGAAGATATGTATTAAACATGCATATTAAACATCCTAATACTGACTCTGACATTTAGTACATCAACATGTATCTCTGGGCTCTGAGCTTTGCTATAGGCAGTGTATATTACTCAATTGGGGTGCATTAATGCCCATGCAAGCTATAGAAGAGAAACCCCAGCTAAAGCATATTAGCCTCATTACGTTTGTATTAACTCTTTCTATCCCAGTCTTCCACACTCCAGCTCAGCCATGGCATGGTATTTTCCTCTGTAACAAGGCCACCGAGATACAACTGTGCACTCTCTTTGTCTCTGAAGATCGCGGCCTAATGAATATTTATGGGTTCAGTGGGTCAAGGTGTAATATCCACGTTCTCACCTCGACACAAGATGTGCCATCACCCCTCATGTATGTGGCAGGGCATTCATCACCCGGCTACAATCGTTTATAGCTCGGCCTTGTAACACCTGCTTCACAGCCTGCCAGCAGATCTGTTTGTGTCTTCATTAGCACCAGGCCAGGCTATGCTCAAAACACATGTCAGGGGGGCCCTGATACGCCTCACTTTGAATAAAGCCAACCCTTTGTTGGAAGAAGGTTATTCCTTTTAACGACTACTTTTTTCAGTTTTTAGATTAAAATGCTGAAACTAAATAAGATTTTTTTGGTGGGATTTCTCCTTAGAAAAGCCAAATTTATGAGTAGTTTGACTGTCTGTTTGTTGGTAAGGCAGGAATTTCCCATAAGAACTCACCCTTTGCAAACAAACCCAAACTTACTCTACGTAAACATAACGTCCATGGAGATTCTCATTCATCCAGGTCATGGTTATCTTGTGTAGAGTTGAGAAGACGTGCTTTTAGAGCTGAAGAAGCTTCTTGGATAAGAGGCGAAACGTCTTCTCAACTCTACACAGTCCAGTTGCCTGTTTTTGATGTCTTCAACGCAAACATAACACTGCGCTATCACTTCCATTGATCAGCAAATATAAGAAGCATAAGTCAAATGCAAGTAGTGTTTTTCACATCTCTGACAGAAATCTGGAGCAGTGATACAAAAGTCTGTTGACTTCTTTCTTTTTTCAAATTATCCACATTTGAAGGTGAAATTACATGATTGTTCCTCAAAGCTACTGTGAGTTACTAAAGCCATTTCATGATGTCCTGCTATGAGAGAATATCACAGGGTTTCCCTTCAGTGATGACTTACCATAGCTACCTGTGATTGGTGTACATAATCTCCAAAAATTGATCACGTTTAAAAAACCAATCCCTTGATTGATCCTCAAACAAATGTGATGAGCTCTATCCGTGGCTCATCCCCTTTAGGGCCTTTTGATGTGGGAAAACTTGCTGATACGCTGTGTCCTCCTTTTCCTAATAAAGCTGTCATCAGCTGCCAATGAACACTTTCATGGCGTTGCTCCAAGCTGGCTGAGATCAATAGTGCCTGTCAGGGGGCGCTCCCTTGGCGTGATAAGGCCGGGAGACACATGGTAAGTAGACCACAGGGGGGATCAAGGCAATACTGTGGCTGGATATGGACCTCGGTTTCAACAGGAAGACACGTTACTGTGTTTACACAAGGGATGGGATGAGAAAAAGTAGAATCCTACTCAGTAGATGAGAGCTAATGGTAATCCTACCACAAATTGAGGTTATGTGATAGTGCTGAATTGTCCACTAAAAGGAGAGAAACCTGATACAGACTACAGTACGAGTTGTTTTTAGTTTTTGCTGGCACCACAGTGATGTCACAAACCCAGTTACTGTAGTGCGATATCACTCTTCTCCCACTGGCCTGCTAGGCTTCAACACATACTATATATATATAAATCCATCACTTCAGAAGATCAACAGCTCTGCCAGTGTCATGCATATTTCATCAAACAACATGCAAGGCTGTGAAGCCCATAACTCATGCAGCTTTGACATCTTTACTAACCAAGCAGCACTGATAGACACACATGGCTTTATGTGCAGGAAATGTACTCTTAATGTGACAGACTCATACAGTGAGCTATTCTTCTGCTGGCCCTTGCAAGCACACACAAACACAACACCACAACAGACACACAGTGTGATATCACGTGATGCAACCCCAGAATAACTTGTGATATTTATTCTTAGTCTTGCAGATTAATTTTGCATGGTATAACATGTCACAAGAACTCAAGCGTTCCTCAATAACTTCTTTGTGTGCACAATATGCAACATAGTGGTGCTCAGGGAAACACTGCTAAACTTAAGGAAAGGGGAAAGTAAATAAGAAGGGCAACATTGCAATACAGAGATTCTATTGAACATTTCATCCATAATTGGTAAGACAAAGGTTGCTGGTTGCCATAGGGATATGATGAAGTAATGATATACAAGACTTAGAGCCAAGGTTAAGCATCTCTGTGGGGCTGGACTTGGCTACAGTGTTGCCTTGAGCGAAATGCTTCTATTTGCATGCCATTGTGCTTCTCAGTACTGACATAGTGGTGTTCAGCAGGTTTTATGATTACCTTGTTAACTATCTTAGGTTATTCTGATGACATGCTAACATTTTGCCGTTTTATGATGATATAAAATGATCTAATTTTGGCACCAGAGAAAATGGTATCTTCTTTGAATGTACCAAAACGTAAGATAACCAAACCACAATTTCTGATAGTTGCTTGAATTATTCAACTAAATCACAAATACAGGGATCCCAGTTAAGCTAAGATGGCAAAGTGGGTGCCCCATTTACAGGGGAAACACTCCCAGTGATTTGGTGTATGTCTTCCACCACTCCATCCCCATATTTCTTGTTTCATAAATGCAAAAAATAAAAAATAATCTTTGAAAAAAATCACAAATATTGGCTTCATTTTGTGGTCATGCTTTGGGAGAAGTCACCAAGGTTCATCATCTTGGGATCAATACTGTTAGGAAAGGAAGTAACGCCACTGCACCAAATGCTCAATGCTAGGATAATTTGCTGGATTATGGCACATATGACCTTTTGAATTCAGTGGTGGAGGAGTCCGGGGATCACAGAAATCATTAAGAGTCATCCTCTGGGGATTATGAATGTCTTCATGGCAACCTCTCCAATAGGGAGACTCTTTACGGAAATACACAAATGTCAACTTCAAGAAGGGAAAAGATACTCAAAGGCATAAAGATAATCCTCTGGGAACCATGATTGTCAGTAGAAAAACCTAATGGTAATTAATCCAGTAGGTGTTGACACTTAGTATAAAATAAACAGAAATTATAATGCTGCACCAAAGCCTGTTTATCCTCTGAAGACAATGTAAATAGAAAATGAATGGAGTATCTTTGACATCCAGTCCAGCCCAAGGTACTAAACTAACTTCATGACACTGCTATAGTGGTGCTGCCAAGCTAAAAATAGAATTTGATTCAAACTTTGTTTTATAAAACAAACTCTCTAATTTTAGTACAAAGAACAAAGCAGCTTAGAAGTAGACGCTGTTCTTATTCTACAGGCTGGGGTTGTATTTAATCATTTTGCAAAGAAAACCAAGGTTGATTTAACACTCCTCTATTACTTATTCATATAAAAACGGGGGAAACAATCACAAACCTGGGCATGATTTGTTAGCTGTCAGTGGTTTCTTTATTCCAAATGGACCCCTGCTGTCAAGTAAATGGATTGACTTTCCAGTTGTATTTAAAACCACGAGGAGACACCAGCCTGTATGTTCATGATATGAAGGTCTAATAGGTAGAAATTGACAAAATATCCAAAGATTATTCATCCCCAAGCAAATAATTTGGTGTTCCAGTCGATCAATGTGCAAATGTCCCCATTCCACATTCATACCTGAATTACTGAGTTCACGGATGTGCACCCAGGACTAGATCACTCACATAATGCAATAGTGCATGAAAAAATGTGTCCAACAGAGAGGAATTGATTAAAGTTGAAACTGGCAATTAGTTTCATTGATAACCGTACCAGTCAGAAGGAGCACACCGAGCACAGGAAGACATAACACATCTCCTGAATGGAAACGCTCCCATTACTCTCTGTCTGCCGTCCTCACTCCCCGCCTCGCCATTCATCTGCTGATATAATGACCAAAGAAAGAGCAAGACGCTGATCTGTCAGGATGATTCACTGTCAATTTAGCTGGCTTTTTACAAAGGTCCACTCTGTGCAGCAGCCGGGTGGATGGATCCAGCCTCCTCCCCTCTCTTATAATCTACATATTGACACATATGATGGTGCAGCACTGATTGGGAACGACTGTGAGGAGATGACTTCTGGGGAGTGACTTTAATTTGACTGAGTGTGCTGTCAGGAGGTCAGATCATTGGACATTGGAGAGGACATTAGCATTAGGGGGTTTCAGACTTCGTTATTCCAGATGATAAGGTGCTTTTCAGAATTACGGCAAGTATGACTATTTTCAAATTTGGGTTATCACGCAGAAAATAAATATAGATAAAAAACTTGTTGAGCTTAGTTTTTTCTTTATTAAGTCACATCTTTGGGATCTAATGCCTTTATTTGGAGATAATTGGATGGTGGATTACACAACACACTGGGTGAGAGCAAGTGACAAGCAGGAAAAGGGCCTTAGGCAGAAATTGAGCCCAGGTCACCTGCTCGAGGACGGTCGCCTCTGTGCATGCTACTCACAGCTTAATAACATGCCGTATCCAGCATTTCGTGAGTTTTGTTATTTGTTTTTTGACATACCGGACTGGCTGTGCCTCAGAGTTTTGCATTATCCCTGCATAGACTTCCATATATCTGGATCTGAGTTGTTGCAGCGTCAGGATTTTGCTTGGGTTAGCAAAAGCCTCTAACAAACAAAGCCTGTAAACAGAATGTTGCCTTTTTTAATTTAAGGTCTAGACAGAAGTTTTTTTTAGTTTGCATCTCCAGAGCCTCTGCTAGCAAACTACAATCTAGCCGTAAACAAATTAAGTCTGATTGACTAATATTAGATTATTCAATTGTCTAATTTGCAGAACCAATACATGGGACAAGGCTATTTGTGTAGACTGAAGTCTGAAGTTTAAACCACATAAGTACACAGCAGGGCTCACACATTTGTGCTCCCCCCACTTGAAGCTCACAAAAATCCTGATAACAAATAACTCAAAACAATACTTTGGTCAATGAAACAGCAACCTTATTCCCCTTTTCTCACTGTAAAGTTAGATTATAAAAACAAACTTAACTGTACAATTTAATCAGATCAAAAATGTATTTGAGGAAATCAATTACAAAATTTTATTTAAACCATAATGGTGTGTAAAAGAGCAAAACATCACCAGTGTCTCTTAGTACATTAGACACTTAGTAAAGCCATAATCTAACATTAGTCTGGTATAATAAGAAAAAAAAGTGATGTGCAGGAGCATTCTTGTGATATCAGTAAGTGTAAACAGGTATAAGAGCATATTTGCTTAACTAATCTATAGTTTATATTATTATATATATTAGCTGGTGAGTGTGCTCCTACTGACTGCATCAAAGTGGTGTAAAATCATGGCCTTAATACCCGGGCCTCCATCTATAAGGTAAAATTGTATATTGATGGGAATGCTGATTATATGTATTAAAAGCTTTCCTGTTGTTTTGCAAAATGTTCATTGCAAATGCTCATGTTCAATACATCTGCAATTTACTGTGCAGCCATAGTTTTTTGTTATGAAGTGTCTAAAAATGAGAAAACTTTGTTGTCCTGCCACAAGGTGGAGCTACTAAAAAGCACACGTTTGAACAAATTCATTAACATTACATCATTGTAAAAGAGGAGCAGAAGTATTGGCCCTGGATGCAGCTCCTGATCAGACTTAACAATCATATGAGAGGAAGTAGAGAGTGGATGATAATCATTGTTTATTTGATGGGGATAACAGTTGAAGTTTACACTTTATTTCATTCTGTTAGTAAAACATTCAATATAAACGAGGAAAAATCTCAAATACGTGAATGAAAAGCAGAAAGAAGACAAATCTTATGGAGTCTGCCCCTCTTTTACAAGATATTAATCAACTAGTGTTTACTAGTGTTTTAAGAGATAAAATGTAAAGCTGAAACACTTCTGCTCATTGAAACAGCAAACACAATAAGCTTACTTCACAGTGCTGCTATCTGTTGACTGAATACTTACTGAACAATGTGGGCAATGTAAAGCAAAGGGGGTCAATGTAAAGCTGAAAAAAATTGCACTTTTCATTCAAGTTTGAGACGTCCCTCATCAGATGGTCATGGACATCTTGGTGGCTGGCGCCATTGCGTGGCGTAATGGAAAATTACAGCAATGTGGTCGACAGTGAATGAGCCTGTCAGTTAATTTGTCAGAGAAACAAACAAAAAAACTACTCTTGAAATGACAAAGTTTTTAAATAGCAAGCGTTGGAAAAAAAAGTATGGAAATTTTTGTCAGAGTCTGTAAAGAACCCGGAAGCTGATGTTTTCCAACGTAAACAAACTGGTAAATTTCCAGAGTAAATGAAGACTGTGTTTAAAATTAGCTGCATCTACTGAGAAAAAAAAAGTTGCCTCTGAGACCCCCCTCCCCCTTAACATTAAGACTTTTTTTCAATAGTTACCTATTGTCCATTCTTTCCTCCCTTTCTTAAGCCTTTTCACCTTTAACCTTTAAATAACTCAAGTCAGGCGATATTCCCGTGTGATTGATGCAAATTAGCCTTCTTAAAACAAAAGTTCAACCCGGACATTAAACCAGAAGTAGCTACTTTGAGTTCATCCATCCCATTTCCTGGACCAAGTTCCTGAGGGAGGGACACTTTACGCTGCCATGGGAAAGTTCTCCCTACTTTTTCCGATCACATTTTTAAGAGCACAACCCGAGTTGGGCGGCAGAATCCAGAGCCAGTGTGAGTAGCGGAGGGTGACACTGAGAAAACACCAAGTGCTGAGGCCGGTAAACCTGTAAGGAGACGACAAAAAGACTTCACGAGAGAGAAAGGTAAGAATATCACACGATTAATGACAATATTATAATACTATTCAAATGGAGTGAAACAACAAATAGACCCTTGTTTGTGTCGTGTGCTTGTTTTGAATCACAATGATATAGCCTATTAAAGTTACAAAGTTGTAATTATATTTTTGGCCCTCTGTATGTCAAAGTACAATAAAGGGTGTTGACCTTTTAAAAGATATAAACTACCTCTATCATCATCAGAATTATAATCAGAATACTTGATTTATCTCAGGGAAAATTTCGATATAAATTTAAATATCATATCTTTTAATATGACAATAAAACATTGGTCATTTATGTTGACTTTCATGCTTATCTTTTCTATTTTATTCATATTTCCAAATTTTACATGGTTTCTTTAAGACCCAAACAATGAAGTTCAGAAGTATAACAGATTACCTTCTTAGTCCTGTCAGTGATTCTGTGAAAATGTCCACTGTGATTTGAGGTTGCCTTATTGTGGCAGATATTGTTTTATTTCTGGTGATTTTTATATAAGGAACTGTTGGCAGTCGATTGGTTTTATGTTTCCCCAGAGATAATAATAATCCCCATGACAAAAGTCCCAAAGTGAGTAAGTCCAGTTTTCAGTTTTGTGCCTGTTCAGGTTCCCAGGTGCCCTAACAGTCCATTGTCTCCTCTCATCCTGTCAGAAGAGTTTGTATTTTCACCATAACAGTTTTTGTTATTCTCAGTGGGGAAGAAATAACAGAAAAACAAACAGTCTAAAGAAAACGACAAGTGTCACAGCAGTGTCTCAACTCCCCCTCACAGGATGTTTATTCAGATGTGTGTGTGCGTATGTGCGTATGTATGAGCTTCCCGACAAGTCATGGCTGTGCCATTCGTCATTATCAACTCCTACCAACCTCTCTTTAAACTTCCCCGCATTCAGACATAGTGTGATCTGACTCAGCTTTAATTGATTCATAAATCCAATTGTAAAAATGAGCGCGAATAACAATGCTGTGTAAAGTTTAAGGGGCCTCTTTTGGGCTTTTATTGTGAAGAGGGAGCACATACACAATTTACATTCATACGAAATATAAGCTCCAGTAGCATGTGTTTTTGTTTTAGTTGGTTTTACTGTATGGGGGCCTTTCTTTTCACATCTTCGTGATGAGGAGTTGGAGTCCATCCTAACAACAGTGTGAGCTCATGGAAGAACTAATAGGGGGGTGTATACAGCCAGATAAAGCCCCCCCATTCCAGGTTTAAAAGGACAGCATTGTACTGGAAAGGTTGGAGAAACTTAGGTCATTTGTTGCTTATAGAAATCATTAAACACTTATGCATTAGCTGTGCGTTTATGAAGCCCCATGAGAGTGTAGCGGTGGAAATAAAACATAGCAATAAGGTGTTAAGTGGTACATTCAAGCCAATAGGCACAGCAATGTAGCAGTAAGCGGAAAGTAAACTATACGACCTGCATTATAACTACATTAAGACCCGCAGGCAGGATGTAATACAAGGTAAGGAGGTGTTACCAGCCTGTTTATCTTATTATACAGGCCAGTTTATGTGTTGAGTTTGATACTTAAAGATTTTCCATGCTGGCAACATGATTTTTCAATCATGGGTGGTTTCATCAACATGAGAACTTCTAAAGAAAACAAGTATAAATTACATGACAGTGTTATCTGTTATTGCTTTGCTAAACAGGACCCTTTTTTCTATTCTTAACAGTTAAATAAATCACTTTCTGTACAGACATGTCTCAAAACACATTTTGTCTTTGTAGATTAACCACTAGGTTGTTTTTAACGTTGAAAGAATGACTGATATGATCATTTCAATGGTATTTCTCCAAAGTTGTTTTTCGGCGGTCATTGAAATCCCATGAATACACAGATGTAATTTCGACACATCAAGGTTTTCAGACAATTATCATGAAAACTGCACTTTATGTGCTCTGCGTTTTTAACAAGATAGTCCAGAGACATTTTAAGAGGTTAGTTATAATCATTTTCAACAGAAGATGAAAAAGAAGACAACACATGCTCAGCTAAGCAACTCTAACCATTAGAGTAGAAAGAGGACCAATTTGCTACACTGTTAATGATCAGCCACTAGGGTCACATAGACCCTCATCACTGACAGGGTCGAGAGCTAGATTTGCATGTGAGTAATGCGTGCTCAAGAGTGTGTAAAACAGCTCTTCTATGTTGACACCCTGCTCACTTTCGCAGCATGTTCAGCAGCTTTATTTATGAGATGGGTCTTAAGGGCCATTGTTAATGTGTGTGATGAATCTTGTGACAGAAGCAGATTTTGGTCTAAATCTAGATGTTGAATCTACAAACAAACAACCAAAGACTTTATTTTCCAAAGACCCATCAACAGTGGCCGATGACATCTTTGAAATGATGATTCAACGGAAAAAATCTCACTGGGGATTTACAAAGTCATAGAAATCCCTTTTAAAAGCTTTGAAAAAATAAATCAAAAATTAAAAGACCTGCCAGTGAAAGTATGTTTGGAGAAAAGAATGAAAAACATCACAGATTCAATCAACCTGATCCGCTCTGGGAGAAGTTTTGGAGTCCTCACAGAAAACCCTCAGTTCCTTTTAGCTTTGATATCTCAAGGTACAGGTAGACTTGGATGTAACCCAGGTCTTAGATGAAGATGGGAGGGAGGCATTGGGAAGCCTTAAAGGTATTCACCCAGATCCTAAAGTCAACATTGAAACAAACTTGGAGACTGTCTGACTGGGACTAAAATAGACAGGATGTGACCATAGTTTTGGTTCTAGTTCAGAGCCTAGCAGATGGGTTCTTCACAGTCAAGTTGATCAGTTGATCAAAAGAAGTCTTAATGTGTCTACTCTCTGTCCCTCCCAGGAGCAGAGGATGTCCAGAGCTGACTGGTCTTTCCTGGAGCACCTGCTGGAGGAGGGCCAGGAGTATTCGACAGGCATCGGCCGTGTCTGGCTTACCGTGCTCTTCCTGTTTCGCATGCTGGTCCTTGGAACCGCCGCTGAGTCTGCCTGGGACGACGAACAACTCGACTTTATCTGCAACACCAAACAACCTGGCTGCACTGCTGTGTGCTATGACAGGGCCTTCCCCATCTCCCACTTCCGGTACTTTGTCCTCCAAGTGATCTTCGTCTCCACGCCAACGATATTCTACTTTGGATATGTGGCTATAAGGGCAGGGAAGGACAGGGGAAAAGATGAGGGGGCAGATGGAAAGCCAGCAGGAATAAGTAACAGAGGAGTTAGCGTGATCGAAAGGAAGAGTAACAATGCCATGAAAGACAATGCAGAGGAGAAAGAGAAAAAAGAGGAGGGGAGGAGAGGAGGAAAAGCTGATAAGACTCCCTCTGGGGTTCCTAAACTAAAGGGGAGATTGCTGTGTGCGTATGCATTCAGCATCTTGCTAAAAGTCCTCCTTGAAGTTGGTTTCATTGTTGGACTTTGGATCCTTTATGGGGGCTTCTCCATCGCAGCAAAGTTTGAGTGCAAGGGGTTTCCTTGCCCTCACACAGTGGACTGTTTTGTCTCCCGACCCACAGAAAAGACTATCTTTACTGTCTACACTCAGGTGATCGCTGTCATCTCCCTGCTCCTCAACTTCGCGGAGCTCCTTCACCTCCTCCAGCTCGCTATTTCCCACCAGCTGGAGAAAAGGTACCATGACAAGCAACAGGACTACCTCCCTTGGTCCGAGCGGGTGACAGCACGAGAAGGGACTTTGGAGCAGCAATCAGAGGTGCCTCAGTCTTACAAAGCGGGCAGTCATGTTGAGCTTCCCAATCAGGGTGAGGTAATATGTTACCCCAATCCTTGTGAAAGCTATGGGGATCTAGCGATAGAGGTGAACTGGGGAACTGGGGCGACGGGGAATGACCTGCTGCCCAGTTATGTGAACTGCATGGGGGCTATGGGGACAACGCATTCCCCAAGAGTCCACTATAAGAAACATGCACACCAAACAGTGAAAGACACTAAGGGTACCCACAAGGGACACTCAAAGCAGAAGCATTATGTATGACCAAGTCTATGAAAGCTCTGTTCATTCTGATTCTTATTGGTTTTTGTAAGAACTATCCTGCACACGAAACTTGAAAAAAAGGAGTGCACGTTGGGAGACCTTTTTGAAAAATAATTGTAAAAAATAAAAAGGAACAACAACTGTTGCACTGTGTGTGTGTGATGCCTCGGAGGCAGGCTGAGATTAAAGCGGATTTAGCAGATAAATAAGGCTTTTGAAAAAGAATTATGTTTTTTAAGAACACTCCCTTTGGCAACAAAAATTAGGCGCCGCAATGAGGGAAGACTGCAGTCATAAGATGTCTCCATCAATTTCTGACTGTTGGTGTTGAATGTAAGAGTGGAAAAATACTCTGACATTTCAAGAGTACAGGGGCGAGAGATCTGGTGCATTGAAACATATTCCTCTGAGGTTTGCACTGTAACCCCTGGAGCTCTTTGAAACCCCCCCCCACCACCACCCCCCTCTCCCCATGGCTTTAGTCACTTGTGTCCACACAGTGGAATGTTGTGGTCTCTGGATCCCGCTCTGCTCCCATGAGGATAATGGCTGCGCGGTTGCTTACACGCATGCACGCATGCATGCACACTCACAAAGTACTTTTGGCCCTTTCGCACAGCCTGTTTTGGTCACTTGAGTTGGGTCATGGACTAAGATGGAGAAGGGAAACCATACCCTGGGAATTCTGGGATTGTAAATGACTTATGACCATAGTGTTGAAGCTCTGAAGGAAGAAGGAGAGAGGACCAGATCTGGATAATGAAGCAAGGACCAGCCTCTGGTTAGCACATTGAATGGACAGAAAGCGGTACAGAAATGTGCAGACTTAAAGAAAGGAAATGACCATGTGAAAACTGTATTTAATGTGAAGAAGTATCATTTGTATTTATTTTTTGTTGACAATAAAGCTTTAACCACCAAAAGATAATGGCCAATGACAAGTATTTTTTTAGCACAGTCATCATAGGGTAATTAAAAGGGTGGTTTGGGTATTTATGAGGTACTTGTCCACAGTGTGTACACTCACTAGAAGCTAGCTTAGCTTGGCCCCTTTGTTTGAAAACTAGCTGGTGAACCAACACAGAAGCTAGGTAACCGACCGCTACAGATGAGTTCAGATATAAAATGCAATCTTCCTCAAAATACAAAAGTTCAATCAGACTGCAAAAATAAAATTGTGAACCAACTTCTGGCGGTCAAAGCCCAAAACCAGTCAGTAAGGCAACTCTTGAGTGATGCAGTCTGCAGCTGTACGTGAGCTGTTGGTATCCTTTGTAAATCCTGAAATGCTGATGTTACCAAGTCCCTGCAGTGAATGCAGCAGCTCTCTGGGTTCATCTACATAGGCTGACACATGAGATTTCTCCACATTCATAAAGGCATCTACAATAAATAGCATGCCATCCCAGCTGTCAAAATTCGCTTGGTATTTTCATCTCTTCTGAAACCTGCTGAACAAATAATCTGTGTGCTGCAGGCAAGAGAGCAAGTTTGCATTGAATCTAAAAATGGTGCTAAAATGAAGTTTCTTTTTGACAGTAAAGCACAGACTTTGAAAAGTTTGCTTAAGGTAACGTTGTGGTTTGGGGTCAGACCTTAAAATCAGCTAAGGTAGGTTGTAGAGTTAACCCTGGCTACAGCAGCTGATCACCTATGTTGGCATGTTGGCTTTTCAGCTGGTTTCTCAACATGGAACCAAGTTGACTAGGAAGTAACTTAGAAACCTCCCTATAACAATGAACCATCCCTTTAAAAAAATTAATAATAGCAATGATGAAAATAATTAAATGAATTTATACAGAACCTTTCAGAGAACTGGAGGTTGCAAAAGTGGAGTAATGAACTAAAATAGAAATAAAAATGAACTAAAATTAGGGTGAATCCCCGAAAAGAGGACACAACTATGCGGGGGCACGCATAGCGTAGCTAATTTTGAGAGTTTTTTGGGTTACGTCAAGAGCTTTTTATGCACTTCTAACTCAGTAAGTCCACGCGACACTAATTTAAAACTTCCAAACAAAACTCCAGACATTTGAAGGATTTCATAAACTCCCCCGGACAGGCTGGACAGGCCGGACAGCTCCCCCAAAAAGAGGACATGTCCAGGTAAAAGAGGACTTATGGTCACCCTACTAAAAATAAAATGAAATAAGACCAAGACCAGTGGAGGTGGATGAAGGATGGGGTAATGTGCTGCCAGGGTTCTCTACTGCACCAAAGCCTGGTAGGGCTTGAGACTATGTTGGTGGGTGAATTGTCCCACACCATGGTTGACTGCTGCTTTGGGGAAGTGAGAGTTGCCAATGGTGATGGACTGTTCTCTATGTGAAAGATAGGGCTGATACCACTAGAGAGCTGTTCCTATGATGCCACGGTATGAAGGATTAATTGTGAAGAGATCGAGGAGAATGAGAATGCTAATGTTTTCAGAATCTGCAAAAGTAAGGAGATGATTCATGATTCATGATTTTGATCAGGGTGGTTTCTTTGCTGTGGTGTATATAGAATGTATTGTAGATGCCTTATGGAAACAACACAACTCAAGATCAACACAAGTTGATCTCTTGTCATGGACATGGTTTAATTCCCTTCCTTTCTAAACACAGGGAGCTTGTTCCTTTGTGGGCAAAACATTTCTGAAGTGTGGGTTCCCTTTGTGTCCAACCACACACTTCCTACTATCCAAATACTGTCACAATATGGAGGCACTGAATCACTCAAGAGAAAGCACTCTGGGAATAAAAGAACGAGGAAGGTGCGGGGAGTGGATGAGCCTTACTGGGTATCATGAGCACAACCTTCAGAGGGAAGAAAAATGGAGGGAATAACTTTGATTTAATGGCTGCTTTCAAATCCATAGCTTTTGTTGTACATGGAAAGAAAATGCATCAATTATTTGCCAGTAAAAGTTCATACAAGGTGGAACAGCACTTAAAGCTGGCTCTATTTAAGATCCCCTGGAGAGCGCTGACTATTAACGTTGTTTTCTTGGAAAGCAATTGTTAAAATCCAGAGCTCAGCGCCTTCCACAAAGGTGCTTGCACAAGCTCTGAATGAATGTACCCATATGTCTTTTCACCATGGCAGCTGCAGCGCCTGCAATACAACACTCATTTCCAGCAATTTACTGAGCTGTCTTCATGATGATAAGCACTTATCTATAGCAGGAAAGGTGGATTATGGGGATTTTAAGAGAGAAAGTTGCCATAAAACAAACACTTTGAACTGCAAAGAAGAACTACAACCTACCTCTGAAAGGTGGACATAAAGAAAAACCTGACTTTTATTTCTTTGCTGCAGTTTTATCCAAACATTTTATGATTGGATAATAAAAGGATGATTGGACTGGAATGTGTTCTCATTGTGTTGAGGATAAATTGGCACAAACTGTTCGGAAAACAATCCAAATACGGCTGGCTGAAGCTGCCCAGTTCAATGTCTGTTCATGAAAACTTGGCTGGCATTCCTGTTCAGTCTGGTTATATCAGCCTTGGTGGGTGGGTGCATGTTTTGAGCACTTGCAAGCATGTGTCAATGTGATTGTTCACGTGTGTGTTTTCTCAAAAAAAGCCAGAGGGTCAGGGAACAGATTGCACAGGGCGGCTTGTATCAGCCCACTGCTGCCAACCAAAGCCAGCAGTGGAACAGTGGAGCCCTCTTTTGCTTCAATCTTCCTCATATCCGATCAAGGCGGAGCAGCCCGACGAGCGGCTCCATTCTTTCCGCAGAGTAAACTCTCACCTCCTGTTCACTGAAGCAAATATAAACCGTCAGGATGAAAACAACAGAGCAGGTTATTTGTTTCTCAAACGCACTTTTTTTCTTTAGTCCTTTTCTGTCTGCTGGAAAAGTACCCAAGTCCTTCAAAGGAGAAAATGAAAGTGATGTTTTGAGTCTATATTTCCCTGTCGGAGCTGATTGCCATAAATCTGGGAAATAGTCAGGACATGAATAAGAGGTAATTTGAGAGGATATAACGATAAAAATCTTACAATGGGGTTATTTGTTTGTTCAAAGTTGTGCAAATAAAATCAGTGGGAGTCATTAGCTGGGAAGACCCCAATCTGCGGGACAGGTCATCTTAAACGGTTATACACGCAACCTCTGGGATCAGCTGCCATTCTGACCAGGCTTCCTGACATTGTTAGAATCACTGCTGATGCATTTCCTCACACCGTTGGTGAAGCTGCATGCAGCTGGTCCCACACAAAGAAGGATCTCATAGTTTGGTGAATGGATTTATACGCACGCAGCTGGGAGACACAACAGTGTAGAAGCTTTCAAACTGTTTGGAAATCAAGGTGTCACCAGGTGGCTTGTTGTAGCAATGAAAAGCAAAGTGTCATGCCCACAGTCAATCAATCCTGGTGAATTTGTATGGCAGCAAAGTACTTTTTTAGGAGGGAGACACCTTGAGAAGAAACAGACTCATGGTGAACATCTATCTGCTAGGTTTAGATGGGCCAAGACATTGGGATACAGAGAAACAGAGGTTAATCAGTGGCTATTGGGAGCACCTGTGATCACCCTCAGCTGAGAGTCATCAGTTGAGGATGATCAGCTATATAAGGAGGCTGAGTGTTTCTGTTCAGTTTGGTTTCTGACCCTCAGAAGGTCAACACCTTCAGTTGGCTTTCTTTGGTTTCTGTCTCAGTTGAATCAAGATTTCTGTCTTTGACTTGTCTTTCCACCGATCATTTATTCTCTCCCTGATCTTTGACTCCTTTTTTCTTTTTAAGTTTTATGGGTCCAATCTTTTGTTGGTCTATTGTTTTGATAGACTTGGTGGATGTGTTATTTTCCACTTACACCTTTCAGAAAGAACAAGGCACCATCTTATTTTGATTTCTTTTAAAAGGTGCAGTTTTTGGTTGGTTTCCCAGCCTCTGACCCCTGTCCTTCAGGTTTTGTTTCTGGGGCAGACATACACTACAGTGCCTTTTAATAGAGAAATTATGTATAATACTTAACTAACAATACAGTCACTAAATTGACTGATGGTGTATAGCTGTTACAATCAGTTTTTACAGGTTTAATGTGACCATTAATGACCTCTACTAATATAATCTAGATATTTATAACTGCAGTAGTTAGAGTCAACCAAGTTCAAGCAGCAGGCAGTGCACAACAACAATATACAGGAACAAATGAGACAAAGGAGCTCAAACATGCATTGAGATACAGAGACTTACTGATGGAGAGAGGAGGGGACATAATAGAGTTTTGTGTGATGGATCCCCCGTCTGATTCAAATGATCAGCTCGTTATCAAGCTGTAATGATTTAATAACGAGTTGGTCATTTGAATCAGGTGTGTTGGAGCAGGGAAACATCCAAAACATGCAAGACAGGGGGGGGCTCGAGGACTGGATTGAAAACCACTGGCTTAAAACATCATAGGGGTTGTTTCAAACCTGGGCTGTAACTTCAACTTTCATCACAAAAAAAAAAAATGTTCAAATCTGCTCCTAAAAGTAGAGACAGACCCTGACTGGTATGTGAGTCCTTAGGAGAAAAGCCTGCTGGTAAAAGGCCCTTGCTCCCATGCTACTTTTGGACTCTCCTGCATTCAGATGGCCCAATATATGAAAGTTAATAGGGCAGTATGAGTTCTTGAACAAATAATGGTACCTTACTGTTAATCGCTATAGTCATGGCACTTCCAGGAAAGTCTTTTCCCTTGTGACAAATTCAGAGAAGAAACTTACAATTTCCCTTTTTAGTTTAGCCTCTACCCTGGAAAGAGAAAATAAATCCATTCTTAAAGCAGAGAGCTCTTACACTTTTGAGGTCAGCCTGCAGGCTCCAGCACAAATGGCCATGTGTTTTCAAACCTTTTTTTTCCCAACATCCTCTTCAAGCATCGTTTATTCAATATATAAGTATGAAACACAAAATCAGGTCAGACTCTCTGATTGGGTCAATCAACTTCACTGTTCCTCCATACTTTTTTTTTTCATCTCTAAGGAAACATCGTTTTTGTAGATCAACAAAAAACCATCAATCATTTTTAAAAAGTGTGTAAAACTTGACACCAGAGTCAATCACACCTCCTCACAACAAACAAGTATTTGTCCTTTTCTTGCTCAGGATGCTCTGAAAATATTACTCAATCGCTCCCAAACTAGGACTCCTTGCTTAAAATTACAGTCAAATACTCCTTAAGACTTTAAACAGTGCAAGTGCAGGGAAGCTAATTCATGAGCTAGGAAATTCTCCCTTGGGTAGGATGTCACAGAGTGCTCCGAACTGTGCTCAAGGATTTCCAAAGGGTCTACTTTTGTGCAAATTTAGCTGCAACAAGTCTTGCTGTTGTGATACTTCTTCTACCAGCTGTGTCTCTCATAGTCCTGCATGTCATCAAGGAGCACTCTTGACTACACAACTCTTGACTATCTCATGCACAAACACGCTCACAGAAACATGTGTTTGGAATAACAAGCAGTGGGGTGAGAGGTTATCAAGTTATGCAACATTTATTTATTTTTGATGTCATTAGTGTTATTAGCCCGCAGGAAGAGAAACCACTTGGGGTTCAGTCATGTTTTAGTGTTTAAAACAACGTGTATGTGCGCGTGAGGACACACAGCATCCTGTGTGCCAGCTCTCTTGTTTCCCTTGTTATATGCACAATGCCAGCACACGACTTTCTCTGTATCCATAACAATTTCAAGTCCCAACACCCAGTCCTTCATTTGAGTACTTGTGCCCCGCAATGAGAAAAATAACAAATGCTTTGAGATGTTCCTAAATTTAAACTCTGGACAGGAAGTGAGTTTGTGTCTGTTTCCTGTTGCAGTATTGTTTCTCCCCAGGGATCGGTCGTTTGGGATTGTTCACCCTAACAATGGAGCTGCAGTGAGTATTGTTGCATTGTTTCGTTTTCATTCCCCTGTGTTTAGTTGACCTCATGTCATGGCTGCCCCATCAAAGCCCACTGAAGGACAGGGGAAATGGGCAGAGTGCCGGCTGTGAGGCTGGAGTCAATTAGAGGGCTGGTACCACTTACAACTTTTCAGTATGTGTGAGCCTGTTTGTGTACATGAGGTGATGTGTTTCTATCAGATTGTTCTTGTTAAATTGAGTTATTTGTTGTCAGGATGAACAACAAATGCAAGTTTCTTTTACAGCTTTGACTGGACCTACGTACAGTATTTTTTATTTTTGTGGAAGTATTCCTTTACCTTTTTAGGATTAGGGTTTGCAAAAGTGTATGACTGATCACACATGCAGGAGCAGACTCTGGTACAGGAGGTACTCTTGTGTACTCATGTGTAGTCTGAATAGTAACCATAAATGTCAAGTTTGCTGTGGGTAAATCTGTGACCAAAAGCAAACACAACGGAATATGCTTTAATGGCATCCCAGATCTTATGGGTGGTAATCTGAATAGGATTTTCTTTATTAAAAGACATCTGCAAACAAGTGCAGCTAAGAATGACATTTTTACCATCAAAAACATCTGACAGTACAATATTTCAGTCAAGTATCTGTCTTTAGTTTGTATGTTTTCCTGTGTAAGATTGCCCAGAAACATTACCTCAAAAGGTCATGGGAAGCTCGTATCCTAATATTGTTCTTATTCCTTTGCCTATAACAATGTTGATGGCTGTTTTTGTCAGCATTAAGGTATCTGGCTCTTCTGAAGTTCCCACTCTGCGTAATGGATTTTTTTCATCCTTTCACTGTCTCCGTGGGAATTTGAACTTCCCTGACAAATGTGAGATTATTTAAAAGTTTATTATTTGCCTTCCTGACTGTGTGTGTGTGCATATATTTGACCTACCTGTGTTCCTGGATTCTATGTGTATTATTTTATGTGCTTGTTTAACAGGGGATGTGGTGCCCTTCCACCAAGCAGACGGCTCTATTGTTCCTGCAACACAGGGAACACCGTCTCCAGCCTGTCCACTCAGGATGTCAGATTGAACCTCCTTTTTTAAAAAAAAAAAAAAGGAACTGCCAGCATCACCCGCACCCATTATCCCTATCATCCAGAAAGAACAATGGAGCACCTCCACACATCCCTTCCCAGGAGCCTCCGTGTTCAGTTCCCACAGTACTGTCCAGGTCTGCGGAGCTGAGCCATTGTTAGACGTCCGACCTGTCCTCTGATTGTTCCCTAGAGGACACACACACCTTTTACACACCTAAACACACAATGACACATCTTGTTAGCTCTCTCTCTCTTACAGTTTAATTTTGCTGCAGCCTCACATGCACCTCTACATCCTTGTTCAGATAGAAACATCCAGCAGCTTGAAGTAATCATAACCCTCTCGTACACTAGAGGGGAGCGGGTCATTGCACACTAAAGAGAGGATTTCATGCTGATGGCTGCTGATAACACAACAATCCACATGTTTTGCCAATGTAAATCTTCACATCATAATCTCCCTCTATTACACCAACAGGCAGGGCGACATAGCAGAACTTCTGTCTGCACGCTAGGAAGGTTTCATCCACTAAGAGAGCGCTCCAGGGCGAGAAGGACCTTTTTGGTTACTGTAGGACTCGAGTTGTGGTGTCAAAACTACTTGTGCGAAGTCACGTGACTTGGTTTAAAGAGCTTCATAAAGTCATGTAGCATTTTACGGCACCAATAACTTCTCTGTCTTTAATCAGCGATGGATTTTTATTAAAGTTTTACCTCCCGACCACATCACTGCTCTTGTTTTTAATAATGAGGACAATAAAGGTTTTATTGAGTGAATATGTGGAAACTTTTCCCTCCCTTTCTGCCCACAAATGCCGTGTTTGGATAGAGGCAACACCTCTCCCTTATATTCTTTTAGGTATCCCAATAATCAGTATGTTTGTTACAAATAATGACGGATAATATGATTCACTCGTTTTGCCCTTAGAAGGAGTTAATCTCGGCTCCGTGTTGCTCTTCAAATGCGTGTTTCAGTAGGAATGTTTTCACATAATTATCAATGTTGTTGTACATAGTGATGAAATGCATCACAAACATGGACAACTATAATCGGTTGAACATGGTCTTTACACGCTGTATCAATCACCACATCAGTGCAAATTTCCACACAGTAATTCTTGCCAGATGAAAGCTTAATCCAGGCTGAAAACACAGATATGGATTAAACCGAAACAGGCCCTGAACTTCAAATACGGTTAAAAAATCAGGAACATAATACGGTGCTCAAGCAAACTATCAATCTAAGTCTCACACTCGGTTAAAGGTTGAGCTGCTTGATCTAAGAAAAGTGGAGAAAAAGGAGGGAATCAAAGCCACTGTTAGCAGTTAAAAAGATTAGTCTGTCACTCTGTTGTTGCAGGAGTTTTATTGGTTCTTGAGTGATTTCAGTTTGGTGATTGAGTGCAGCCGGTATCTGCCTTGTTAAAATTTATTAATCAATTCCCCATAAATTATGCTGTTTACCGCAAAAAAAGTATTATCAAATGTGTTTTTCAGATGTTACATCCCAATAATTGTTTGATCTAGCTCATTTTAGATGAGAAATGTTGGTTCTGTCCTTCAGTAGTTACACCTATCAATATGTTTAAGATGTTTGAGGGTCAATTTACCACTTCTGTTGAGAAACTGGATGAGGCTAATTTTAACAAGGATAAATTTGACTGTAAAAAGTCATAGTAATGAGATTTTTGGCAGAGGACACTACTTAAACTAGGGTAAACATGTTCTGAAATCCCAAAAAGAGGACACTACTGCACGGGACAGAGTCACAGAGCCATGCGTAGAAAATTTTGAGTTTTTCGGGTCGGGTCGAGTGGTTTTTACGTGCTTCTAACTCAGTTAGTCCATGCGACACAAGCTCAAAACTTCCGTACAAAAAGCCATTTGAAGAATTTTATAAACTCCCCTGGACAAGGCCGGACAGCCCCCCATAAAGAGGACATGTCCAGGTAAAAGAGGACATATGGTCACTCTAACATAGAGAACAAGATAAACAAAAGCCACTTTGCAGGTGATGCCAAAATTGACACAAGCTGAAACTTCCTTACTGGAGCTTTAAGGTCTGTGGACTTTCAAAGCAGCAAATACAACTTTAAAGTAGTATACAACCAAGCCAACGGTATGGTCCATGACTCAGAGCATATGAATTGTGCCTTTAAACTAGTTGTATTTACTGTGTTGATAAAAGACAACCAATGACCGGAAGGTTGGCGGTTCGATTCCCCCCTAATCCAAGTCTGTCTGTTGTGTCCTTGGGCAAGACACTTAACCCACCTTGCTCCCAGTGTGTGTCCTCCACTGGTGTATGATTGTGAGTGTTGTGTGGTGGTGGTCGGAGAGGCCGTAGGCGCAGAATGGCAGCCACGTTTCCACCACCACCAAAGTGTGACTGTGTGAGCGAATGAATGATGTATCCAATGTAAAGCGCTTTGAGGGTCTCTGATAAAGCGCTATATGAAATCTGATGCATTATTATTATTATAAACTAAGAGAATGACTGATTCTGACTGCAACAATGACATACTGTAACCGTGGACATTTTTATGAGTCAGAGAAACATGTTGACAGAGCACAACAATCATGCAAAACCAAGACTGAGTCAGCTGAATGATAATGACTATTTGTTGCTTCAAATCACCTCAAACTGAGATCCAGCCATATCAAAACTCACAACAGATCACTGCACTGGACAAAGGTCATGTTACTTGTGCATCACTGACCGAATTAATTTAACAGTGGGTTCAGCAGGCGGGTTTACTTTTACATTTGCTATTGACAAGTACCTCTTACAAACCCCACTTTAAACCATTCAAAAACTTCCCCTCCAAAAGTCTTCAATACCAGACAAACACAATCTGATGTTTACAGAGACGATCATACCCAAAGAAACTTTTATAGCATATGTGAAATTGAAGTGGGCACATGACTCACCCTAACCACACTCAGTCATGAATTTACTGTCTGTTTAGAAGTTTGACTTTTTTAAAATTTGGATTTAAGGAGCTTTTGTTCAGAGATCAGCTGCAGATATATGAGAATCCCACTCTGAGGAATATAACATATTTTGAACTGACTTGTTTTTTGAGTCATATTTTCCCAGAACAAAGTTATTTGTTCACAGGCCACATTCCAAACTGTGAACAAGCTGAATTTCCTCCATTCATCGTGGATTTGTCTCCTGTGTTTCCTCGAAAACAATTTCCTTCTCCGGCAGAATGAGCACACACACATTGCTTCCTTCCTTTCACTTTGATGTAACTTTCTGTCCTTGGATGTTATTTCGTAACTGAGCGACATCTGATGTGAACCTGGACCTAAAAGTGAAAGCATTTGTGGTAAAAAAAGGAAACTGAAACGACAAAAACGTCCTTAAAATGCTGATCAGTTCACAAGAGTAGTCATAGACACAAAGTTCCTTTATTCATCACATTTTTCAAAACACACATAATTTAAACATTAACTTTGAAACCATCCAGACTTAGAAAAATGAGAAGTAATGTGTGGATGTTTTCTGACAAAAGGAGTAAGCAGCTTAAACTTCCTGAGAGACCTCCCACATGCAGCCGGCTTATTGTCACATACCATCAAAGGACACACAACACAGACGCGACTGATTTTCTCTGCCTTGATGTTGACAATAAGAGGTCCTTCCTTCCTTCACATTTACAGAAGATTAAAGGAGAAACATTTTGTGACAGGCTTTAATAACCGACGAAAGAACAATATTTGTGTGATTTAACAGCAGAGACAACACTTTTGTGTCAACTAGATTTAAACAGTACCAGGAAGTGACTTCTCTCGACCAAACCCAGTCTGGTAGGTTCAAATTCAGGCACCCAGATATTTGATACAGCTAGAATAGTGTCTTGCTTTTTGGTATGTGCACAAACAGGCAAGAGCAACATAGAAGAAAGCTTTAACACACAGTACTTACATCTGGGTCAATAAAAGGTTAATTATTTGTTCCGTTTCATCGTCTTTGTCGAAAAAGGAGTTCGATATAATATGCTAATGCCTCTTGGTGCCGAGGAGTGACAATGTATGGCTAAAGTGATGGAAAGCGTGCACTTGACTCCTCCTCTGGCTCGTCCACTCCAGTGTGCCACCTCTCAAACAGAAGTCTCTTTCACCCACATGGGTTAGCTCTTTTCAGGTCGGTTTCTGTTCAGAGCTGCTTTAGGTGCAAACTCCAGTTTGTCTTTCAGGCTGATAACCTGGGTGCTGTCTGTACCGATCTGTTCCTGCAGCTTCCTCTCCTCCCTCAGCTCCAGGATGCCCTTCTCCTCTCGAGGTTTAGGGGTCCCTCTGACAAACCACTCCAAGCTGTAGCCCACTGCTCCTACTACAAAGGCCACAGGGAAGGTGACATAAGGGGCATAGGTTCGCATCGCTGTCCACACCACAGGCCACATGACTGCACACTGCTTTGGCTCCTAGACTCCAGATAGGGAAATAAAAAAAATATATATGTAAATATAATTTGTGGTATGGTAACTATGGGAAACGGAAGAACAGACAGGTTACGACAGAACCTGATAAAAAAAAAACATATTTTTAACATACTTCCTCACTTCACAGCTTTTGGTGAGAATTTCTTGTCACCTGGTTCCCCCTTGTGGTTTGAAGCTGAATGTGATTGTTGAACCAGTTTCTTAAAATGCAACATACTGTACTGAAGGCTGCTCAATTTAAGTACACTTCTTCCTTTCTATTAAAATTCTCAGTACAAAGAACATGCTGTTAAAAGTTCCTTCTTTTTGCATTTTAAGTAATAAAATTCAACTTTTCACTACACACAAAAAAGTCAGCTGCAACTTGATGAATAGAGATTTTAGAAAAACTATTTGCCCAGAGTTGTGTGGAACTTTTTTAAGAGTTCAAGACACACAGAGGACAAAAGAAGCCCTTACTATGAAGCAGATTGAATACACTGAGGGTTTATTTATGTTATCTAGCTCAGATAGCCCTGAGAAATGCCCGACTGGTTCACAGAACAGGTTATCAACTCGATGGGGTGACCCGAAGTTTCTTTTAGCACATTAACACAACAGTGGTGGAGTTTCCAGCTGATCACAATCAACCCTCATGAACTCAGAATAAACTGTGATGAAAAAATAAAGTTTCACACATACTTCAAATATTAGCACAGGTGCAGTGAACACATTAAAGCTTATATCAGTGAACAATAGATGTAATGTGAATGGTATTAGAGTAGCAAACATGCTCTCATATCTCACAAGTGCAACAAATTGACTATTTTCATTAGTCCCTATTGGGGTATTAGACCAACAATGATGAAACTCATAACAAATTCATGAATTTGGTGCACTCTTTTTTAAGTCAATATGTACAATGCTTCACGTAGATAAACTAGTTTCATGAGAAAGGGTAAATGTTTTGGTAGACATCCCCTAAACCCTTCTTTGAAGGCCTTGTCTGCTGTCATCAACACCTGTTTGTTCTGGCTGTGTGTTAGCCTATCACCCGTCCTGAAAGGGAATGCAATTGTCTTACATTTACATGACAAAATTGTACTCAGTCCACTGTGACTTGCATGCCGAATTAAAGAGTACTTCTTCTCGATCTTGTAGGTCTATTTTGTAAGTCTAAGGTCGTCTAGCTCGCTCTGTACACAGGTTATAAAATTAAAATGTCAAATACGTAATGGAGTTTGGCGGGACTTTGGTGAAATGTTTACAGAGTACGGTAAAGCCGATAGCAGGCAGCAGGGAATGAGTGAGCATTTAGAAATATGGAATAATACTGAACAGTTCCTATATTTTACGGGTTATTACATTATGTAACTCAGGTCAACAGGTAAACCGCCCAGAAGTCATTCACTAAATTGCTTCTAGCCGACAACCTTTGTGTTATCTGGGCAGTACCGCTTCAACAAAGCAACACCAGCGCGCGTTATGTTTCACAGAAATAAAATCCCATATGTTGTATTTTGAGTTTTCTGAAATCAGTGACTGTTACAATAGTTTTTCACAAAAGTCTCCACTCACCTTTACCGTTAGCACGTTGGTGCTGCAGCCAAGTACGTAATATCCGCGTGAGCGTGTGTCTCCTTCCTGGTCAAAGCTCATTGGCTGATGAGCCTCGAGTTGCTGTCCTTGGGAGGACTCCACCTGCCCTTATTTTCGGGGATGTACCTCCGCTCAGTGGTGAAAAAGGTGAAGTGCTCCAGAAAGGGAAAGGCGAAACGTATATTTGCATTTGCTCATTGACAGGGAAAACCCATGAAGACTTCTACTACTTTCTACTACTGTATAATAATAATAATAATAATAATAATAATAATAATAATAATAATAATAATAATAATAATAATATTTTTCCTTGCAGAAAATACGTGGAAATGCTGAGTGCTGAAAGCTGAAAAAGCAATGCAAAACTGCTAAAATAATGGAGGAAGGTTTAAATGTAGAATTGGTTTAAGGGCTGGAGAAAGAGAAGTAGAAGTTGGATGAAAGTGAAAATTGCTGAAGTACAAATAGTATGAATGTGCTTCATAAATTAAAATTGCATTCATGCTGAATAAGGCTAGAAAAACTGTCTGAAATTGCAAAAAAAATTGGATAAAGAAGAAAATTACCTTTAAACACAAGTGGCATTAGTTTAAGTTGTAGTACTAGAAGTAGTATGATAATAGGTAGTTGTAGTAGTGATATTAGTAGCCATGTAAGCAGTAGAAGTAGTTTTAGAATAAAAGAAGTAGAAGTCAAAGCAGTAGAGCTTGTGGTAGAAGTAAGAGAATATTAAGAGAAGCAAGAGCAGTGGAGGTAGAAGTGAAGATACAAGTTGGAGTGATATAAGTAGTAATTGTAGTGGTAGAACTGGGATTTTGTTTGAAGAAATTAAAACATACATAAATAATGAGAATGTGTCTCAGGTTATAACCAGGTTATAACCAGGTTATGTCACAGGTTACAACCAGGTTATGTCTCAGGTTATAACCAGGTTATAACCAGGTTATGTCTCAGGTCATAACCAGGTTATAACCAAGTTATGTCTCAGGTTATAACCAGGTTATGTCTCAGGTTATAACCAGGTTATAACCAGGTTATGTCTCAGGTTATAACCAGGTTATAACCAGGTTATGTCTCAGGTTATAACCTGGTTATAACCAGGTTATGTCTCAGGTTATAACCATGTTTTAACCTGGTTATGTCTCAGGTTATAACCATGTTTTAACCAGGTTATAACCAGGTTATGTCTCAGGTTATAAACAGGTTATAACCAGGTTATGTCTCAGGTTATAACCAGGTTATTACCATGTAATGTCTCAGGTTATAACCAGGTAATAACCAGGTTATAACGAGGTTATTACCAGGTTATAACCAGGTTTTGTCTCAGGTTATAACCAGGTTATAACGAGGTTATTACCAGGTTATAACCAGGTTTTGTCTCGGGTTATAACCAGGTTATAACCAGGTTATGTCTCAGGTTATAACCAGGTTATAACCAGGTTTTGTCTCGGGTTATAACCAGGTTATAACCAGGTTATGTCTCAGGTTATAACCAGGTTATAACCAGGTTATGTCTCAGGTTATAACCACGTTATAACCACGTTATGTCTCAGGTTATAACCATGTTATAACCACGTTATGTCTTAGGTTATAACCAGGTTATGTCTCAGGTTATAACCAGGTTATAACCAGGTTATGTCCCAGGTTATAACCAGGTTATGTCTCAGGTTATAACCAGGTTATGTCTCAGGTTATAACCAGGTTATGTCTCAGGTTATAACCAGGTTATAACCAGGTTATGTCTCAGGTTATAACCAGGTTATAACCAGGTTATGTCTCAGGTTATAACCAGGTTATAACCACGTTATGTCTCAGGTTATAACCATGTTATAACCACGTTATGTCTTAGGTTATAACCAGGTTATGTCTCAGGTTATAACCAGGTTATAACCAGGTTATGTCCCAGGTTATAACCAGGTTATGTCCCAGGTTATAACCAGGTTATGTCTCAGGTTATAACCAGGTTATAACCAGGTTATGTCTCAGGTTATAACCAGGTTATAACCAGGTTATGTCTCAGGTTATAACCAGGTTATAACCAGGTTATGTCTCAGGTTATAACCATGTTATAACCACGTTATGTCTTAGGTTATAACCAGGTTATGTCTCAGGTTATAACCAGGTTATAACCAGGTTATGTCCCAGGTTATAACCAGGTTATGTCCCAGGTTATAACCAGGTTATGTCCCAGGTTATAACCAGGTTATGTCTCAGGTTATAACCAGGTTATGTCTCAGGTTATAACCAGGTTATGTCTCAGGTTACAACCAGGTTATGACCAGGTAATGTCTCAGGTTATAACCAGGTTATAACCAGGTAATGTCTCAGGTTATAACCAGGTTATGTCTCAGGTTATAACCAGGTTATAACCAGGTAATGTCTCAGGTTATAACCAGGTTATAAGTAGGTAATGTCTCAGGTTTTAACCAGGTTATGTCTCAGGTTTAACCAGGTTATGTCTCAGGTTATAACCAGGTTATAACCAGGTTATGTCTCAGGTTATAACCAGGTTATAACCAGGTTATGTCTCAGGTTATAACCAGGTTATGTCTCAGGTTATAACCAGGTTATGTCTGAGCTGAAGATGAAGAGAAACTTAATCTTTCAGCATGACAATGACCCAAAGCACACATCTAAATCAACAAAAGAATGGTTTCACTGGAATAAGATTGAGACTTTGGAATGACCCAGCCAGAGCCCAGACCTGAATCCCATTGAACGTTTGTGGGGCGATCTGAAGAGGGCTGTGCATAGGAGATGCCCTCGCAATCTGTCAGATTTGGAGCGGTGTTGCAAAGAAGAGTGTGCATATATTGCCACGTCAAGATGTGCCACGCTGATAGACTTCTACCCAAAAAGAATGAGTGCTGTATTAAAAGCCAAAGGTACTGCAACATAGTATTAGTTTAAGGGTGTGTATATTTACGCAACCAGGTTATTTTAATTTGTTTATTTTTTTATTTTTCCTTTTTAAAGGTTTCAGTTTGTTTTTCAATTGCATTGTACAGGTTATAGGTCACATTAAACGTGGAAAAAGTTGTGAAATTATTTATCTTGATTAAATTTTTTTACATGACAAAAACCTGGCAGTTGAACAGGGGTGTGTAGACTTTTTATATCCACCGTATAGTTGAGAAAATTGTGCCTCATTGGGCTGTTGGATGATTAAATACTGTATAATCCTATAAACTCAAAGCCCTGTGAATTGTTCCTGTGTTTTTTATGTAACACATAACTTGGATGTTTGTCCTTCCTCTAGCTTTCTTGACTTGCAGCCAACAAACTTTATCTCTCTCTGCCTTTGATCATGAAATGCATTCTTGCATAAAACCAGCCTCTCAAATAAATACTCAGAAAAGGTTGACAGGTTTGTTGCCACTGTTGTGTTACACCCTTGCAAGGCATCAGCCACAGGTGCTGTACAGTGCCTTGAAAAAGTATTCATACCCCTTGAACTTCTTCACATTTTGTCACTCTATAACCACAAACTTTATTTTATTTAGATCTTTTGAGGTATGCATTTGTATTCAGCCCACCTGTACTCTGATACACCTAAATAAAATGCAGTGCAATCAATTGCCTTCAGAAGTCACCTGATTAGTTAATAGAGTCCACCTGTGTGTAATTTAGTATCAGCAGTAATACAACTGTTGTTGTATGTTTCCCTGCTCCAACACACCTGATTCAAATAATCAGCTCGTTATCAAGCCATCACAGAGCTTGATAACGAGCTGATCATTTGAATCAGTTCAAGGGGTATGAATACTTTTTCAAGGCACTGTATCTTGGATGACAGACCCATGGAGTGCGGGATATGAATTTTTCCTCTATAGGGCATTTTGGTGCAAAGAGGCTGTCAAAATTGATGAAGTGAATAACATGACCATTTTGCTTTTGTTTTGTCTAACTGCTTATGAAAAATGCAGAGAAGTTGTGTTGATGCCAATCACTCAGCAGGAGACCTAAGATTGCAGAGTTGACTACAGGGAGGAGAAACTAGATGACTCTATTTTGCTGTTGAAGGGAATCACTACATGTTATTTGCAAACATTTTTCAATAAACTGTACTCATGTTGCTTCCACATCACGATACTGATCTGTAGCAGTGAAACAAAGCCTTTCAGAGAGTGACGGCCACTTCTGACTCATTAATTCTCACGAAGAAGCAGAAAGAGAGGGGAAAAAAAAGGACAGATCTATATCCAAATTTTATCATTAGCTCAAATGACTGCTGGAATAATTGATTAACAGGATACTGTGTGAGCGATTATGAGTCATGCTTCAGAATTATTCTTTTCAGCAGCTCTTCTCTCTGCGCTGTCCACCCTGTAGTTGCCAGAACTGGCATTTAATCAGTCCTGTCAGATAAACTATAATGCGTTCATCCCCCTGCAGGAATAACAAAATTACTAGTGCCAGTTCTGCTTAACTTGCCAAGATTTGTGTTTAAAAATAAAACTATCGTATCAATTCAAATCACAAACTGTGACAATGAGATTGCAATGCCACATCCTCACTAAGTGAAATCTCGGACTCACTCTCTTTTCCTGAGATAATGAGGATCAGTGGTGGGAAATGTCCTCATCAAAATGACGTTTAGGCTTTAGGTTAAATCACCAGTAATAACATGAGGCTGCTGCACTGCTTCCCAACTTGAAAGCATGGTCCACATTTGCAAGAATTTCAAGTCCATCAACTCAATATTTTGAACCAAATCCACACAGAGATTGATGTGTGAACAGAACAGAACAGAGTGTGGTTAAGGACACTTCAACAGTTATGTTTAGCCTGCAGGGAAAAAAAGAGGAGACGCAGGTGGGATATGAGTACAAAAAAAAAGACGCACAAGAGAATTTGATGGATTCTCTCTGATTTGAGAGGCGATGGGAGAAGCAGGAGGACTCTTGACACACTCTGTGATCAAACAGAGTAACAGATGGTGAGGGGAAGAAGTGCCAGATGTGGAGGGGAGACACATTGGCTCTTTTGCTCTTTTTGTTTAGCCAATCTGTTTACAGAAAGAAATGAAAGACTGATTTTAGGCTTTTTGAGGTCGTACATATTGAGTAAAGTTCATCCAGGACCGCACTTCAGCTAAGCTAATTTTCTGCCAAAACAAAACAACTCAGTCCAAGCTCTTAGAAATGAACATAATTTCTTTTATTGATAGTTAAGTGGTATTTATGCAATATTTCTTCCTTTTAGATACATAGCACTTATTCAGTTCCATTATTCAGCTTGCTATAAGGCAACTCTTGTAATGAAGGCATCTGCATTTTTTTTAAGCATTGCATATTCATTCAGAAAAGATAATTTATACATCCAAAAAAATATGATATAAAAGCATTTATCTGTTTTTGGCATCAGGAACCAGTTTGGCATGTATTCAATAGATTAGATCAGATCAGATGCAATTTTATTTATCCTTTTGGGAAGGTTCCCTCAAGGAAATAAACGACATTTCTGGAGTGTAAGTCTCTAAACATCACCTGACTTTGAGATCAAGCAGGAGAAAAAAAATACAAAAGCTTTAAGTGCTTTTGGGTCCCATGTCTTTTGGCCATAGATTTCTGTTATTTAAATTGTACTGGCTGACAAAGAGTGCAATTTAGCAAAGCATTAATATATCTATATTCTTTAAATATTAACACTTGGAAATTTCTTAACTTTTCCTAGAACTAGCCCCCAAGATCAGTTTGCTTTATTACCATTTAATTACAAAGCCATGTTTAATACATTTGGCAACCATTGCTTGGAGATATTCTGTGAAAACGCAGACTACTCCGGATATATTTATATTCAATAATAAAAGTAAAACACACAATCCTGTATTATTCACTGTGTGCTGATATATAAGATATGACTTTTGAGTTCAGTATTGTAATTGTCCTGCAGTTGATTACAGAGAAAAATCTACAGAGGATTTCACTTTTTCACATTTCTTAAAATGTTATCTTCTCAAGCCAAGTCTTTGAATTCATTCAGTCCAGACAGATTGTTTGTCGATGTGGTTGTCGGGGCAACGCACACCAGATTGAAGAAGGAAAAAGAGACAAGTTGTCACTCATCTCAGAATTAAACTGTATAATTTAAATCAAGTATTGGTATTTTGAAGGAAAGACTACCTAACTGTCATCAATGTATGAACAGCATATGGTGGCTGATCCCCTGGTCCCAGGTGCATGGAGCTAAGGTTTATCTACTCACAGCAATAAGCCATGGAATGGATGGATGGCTGGCTCATATACTGTGTTCACAGTAGCAGCAGGTTAGGCTGAAAGGTGGTTTAAATCTGAGCCAAAGTGGTCAGAACATGGAATAGCATTGTGAATCCACAGAGCAGATGAGGCTCACATGAGCCTGCTGATGGTCCCAGAGAGGAAGTCTTCATAGCTCATGCGCACGTTGCCCGTCATGTTGGTGTCTCTCTCCCTGAAGACCTGGGTCATGGTTTGGAGCTGGGTGCACACCTGGATGAAGCGGTCCAGCTGGATGCCGGGCCGTCCACCTCGCAGGGTGAAACGTTGCACCACTGTTTCAGAAAACTGGGGGCTCAGGTTGTAGCCCATTTGAGCCAGAGCTGAAGAGAGAGAGAAGAAGTTTTTGCTTTTATTCTGGTCTGTTTTTTCCTCTAATCTCTATGAACTGTGGCGTCTTTAATGAAAACATTACCTTGGTGCAGCTCAGTGCTGCTGATGCAGCCTGAGCGGTCCCTGTCATACTGCTGAAAGAGCGCTTTCCACCGCTGCATGAAGTCCCAAAGTGCGGAGAAGCCAAACATGTCTATTCGCCCTGACCGCGTCTTGTCAAACATGTCTAACAGGAAATACAAAACATGACAAGTTTAGTCACTCAGGTAGTGTCCATGTTAATGTGCAACACACAGATGTGAAAAGTGTTTGGACTTGTTTCCAGTAAACCCTCTGCTGTCATCTTGAAACTTCTCCTTGCAGCACACAGGAGTCACACATTTCTCATTAGGGTAAATAGAGGACATTAGTCACTGTTGGCAAACACGGTTGGAATGCAGAGAGACTCCTGAAACAAACAGCCGCAGGGACAAATATGACTCAGTCATTTTTGGGCTGACTTTGGCTGTGAATTTTTGTTTTCGACTTTCAAAGACTTGGGGACTTAAAAAACCGGCCCACTCTTTTATTCAGCTCTTTTTAATTAATTTAGTATCCTAAATAACTCCCCCTCATTTTGCTGTGGCCATATTAATCTTTCAAGAGTATCTCTGTCTTTTTTTGGACTCAGGATACACAGCCAAAGCTTTTTTTTCTAACCAATTCATCGACACAGATCTCCCTCGACTGCTGAAGAGTGGCTTACTGATCATCATGAGGCAGGTCTCGTCGTTAAAGGCAGACCAGTTGGAGTTGACGAGTGCCTGCTTCAGCTCCTTCGGGTTGATGAAGCCGCTGCGGTCGGTGTCGACAGTGTGGAACCACTGGTATGCCTCTGGGTTAACACCAGGAGGGACGTTACCTGCAGAGAGGAGAAATAAGGGTCAGAATGGGACACTGGAGGAAAAAGGGGCTGCAACAGTCTCACCTTGGAGGTGTCTATCACTTCAAGATCGCACATTATTCACTGTTTTCTTCTTCCTTTACTTCAATACTACTTTGATTTATCCTCTCTGAAATTTACCTGTCTACAAATTTTCAAAATATTATTATTTCAGTAATGCTTTCACACTTTTCAGGAGAAGCTGATATGTGGCAGGGGATGGGAACAAAATCATCGAAAAAGAGAGGAGAAAAAATTGAGGATTCCTGGAGATGAAGCAGTAGCCCCGTTTTGAAGCGAAGTAATGACTTATTTATTAGAAGAAGAAGAAGAAGACGCACAGTTTTACTGTCTGGCAGCTGAAACTGTGCTGACTCTGTGTAGCAGGAACGTAGTCATAAAAAAATAAAACATCTGCACTCGACTTCATGATTTTAAGTTGAAAAAAATTGATTTAAAAGATAACAGTGTATCATAATAATAACCCTGAAAGTACTTTCTATCTGAATGACATTAGAAAAATAGTAATTTCACCAACACTAGATTCATGGAGAAATATTACAACTGTGACTGCAGTAAATGATGCTTTTCACTTCTGCTATCTTGATTCTATGGGATTAAAATAAAGTGGCATGTCATTGTTAGGCTGGAAGCAAGCTGCTTATTTCAGATATAGAGAATCCCCCCAAAGTAAAAAAAAAAGAGTGTGTTTTATGTTGAGGAATATCTCACTGAAATAAGCTTTTACTAATCACCCAGCTGTATTAAACACTAGATTCTGATAGGCCAAACTGCTTATAAATGGTTATCTTTCTAAATAGCAAAGACTTTGCTTGGCACACGTCAAATTTGTCAAATCAATCAGTGGAGAGGAATGCTTTTGATTGAAATCAAGATAGGATTTCTCTTCCTGCTAACAACCTTTCAAACAGCTGTATATCAGTATTGGATAGGAGAAATCTTACGTTTCACCTTGTTTGCATCTGTACCGTATTTTCCGGACTATAAAAGGTCCTTACACACCGGGGCCGACGCGAATATAGAACGCGAAATTACGAAATATTCGGAGGAGAATATTGACACGCCTGACTATACACATCAAGCCCGATGCAATTTTGCGACTTTCTGGGGGGAAAAGACTTTTCCTGGGTAAAGTCCCACCTCCTTCGTCTTTGATTGGCTAGAAAAGCTGGAAACGTCACCAAATGCTCAAGCCAAATGGTCAGCACTTATAGCCAATCAGAGGCGATAAGATAAGCACATGAAAATATGGTAACAACCGTTAGCTTACGTTAGCACAGATGAAAGTTAAAACAAAGACGTTTAGCAAACTGTTAAAGCACACAAACCATCGTCATATGAGAGATCTGACGCTATGACTCTCCACAAGTTGTCCTTCAGGTCGTTATCTTTGTAAAATTTGTGTCTTTTATCAAAAAGCACTCTGTTCTCCGACAAGTAAACGATCAGCCGGTCGTCCATTTTGGATATACAGGTGAATCAGACGTCACGACAACACGCAATCTTATTGGTCAGAAGTGGAAACTTTAGAAAAATCGACCATGATCCGAAAAAATAAATGCCGCAATATCGCAGATCTGGAAAACGTCGCTGATGTGAACGCTTGTATTGACATGATACGGGTTCGAAAAAAAATGTTTTTGACATCCGAAATAATCGCACGACAAAAACGGTCCCGGTGTGTAAGGACCTAAGTGACGTTAACATACTAGACACCTATGGAGTTTGTTGTTTATGCTTCATGTAGCTGAAAAACTATCGACGTGCTACGTTAGCATACCGTACACATATTCTGACTGTTCTTGGTCTTGGATTTTGTAAAATAAATTTCCCCCAAAACACAAGACTTACACCGGTACATGTTTTTTCTTCATTATGCATTTTTTTGGCTGGTGCGATTTACAGTCCAGAAAATGCGGTAGTTGGGATGCTGGGATTATGTGTAGTTCGCCATTGGTTATGCAAAACGAGGCCTTGCTGGCTTACTTACACATGCCTAGTGTTTTCTAGCGCATGGGTTCTGAAAAAAGGCCAACTGCAGGGCTGGGGGTTGGAAAAAAGTCATCTTAGGCGAGAAGGAGATAGTGTTGGAGTAAAGGGCCATTATCCAGATACATAGAGGAGGACACATAGGGAGTTAGAAAATATGGTGTAGGACGAGGGAGGAGTGGAGAGAGGGCTGATTGTCAGAAAAATGAATGGGTATAGAGGGACAGGTGACACTTCAGGCCAGGTTCTGATGGATTCTGTCCCTGTGGGGAGTGATAGTGACATACACTGTGATGCTCTGGCTAAGACAGAGCTGCTACAGGAAACGGTGTAATCCCACAAACACATGTAAACACACTGCCACACACACACACACACACACACTCTCTACCCATCCGTCTCTCACTCTGTTTAGCCCTCACTCAGTATTACCAGAGTCATCACTCCAACCGTGTAATCCTGCTGAGGGGCGCAAACTGAACCCTGTCTCTACATGACTGTCTGGGAACGCAAGTCATTTTCTATCCATCATCTCACCAGAGAGAGAGAGAGAGAGAGAGAGGGAGAAAAGAGGTAAAGAAGGCAATGGGGAAAGGGAACGGCAGCCTATCTGCAGTCCCTCCGTGTTCAGAATAATTTCAGTTCACCAGCAAAGGTGCAGCAGGAGCTCACTCAGCTCATGTCTAAGCTTGCAATTACCTGCAGGAGCATGGTGTCCATAATGCCCTCCATGTAGTTGTGCTCCATAACCCCCATAAGGTCCGCCGGGGGCACTGCCTGGTCCATGACCATACTGCCCTCCATAGGCTGGGGCTCCATATGCCCCTGGAGCACCTCCATATGGAGCAGAGGGTTGATGACCATAGGGAGCATGGCCTCCGCCGTATTGAGCACCTGGTGGCGGGTTGCCTCTTCCTGGATAGCCCTAAAGTTACAAACAAGAGCAAGGGTCTCTGAGACTGAGTAATACAAAGAAAGAAAACATGGGCTGTGTGTGGACAGACGGAGCACAACATGACCTAACTCATGAGAAGGAAAAAAGAGATAGTTGTAGTTGGATGTTATATTTTGATTGCAACAGATAAGGTAAGCCATTTTTAGAGGGGATGTGTAGAAATACTACTCTCTTTTGAACCCTTTTGAGTAAGCTTTATAAAGTACTGAAGTTTTCTACGGGCATCATAGTGGGGATAAAAGTGGGACTGACTCACAATGAAGTAAGGGGCCCTTGGTGAGCTTGACATGTAAAAAGTTTACGATTTGCATTTGTTCCGTCTCAGTTATAACTGTCAAAAGTGAGTGAAATAAGCTGATTTGATTCCAAATCCATGATAAATTCCATTACATCCAGGCTTCAGGAGCGCAAATGTTTTATTTGAGTGCAAATGTTTGACTAATCTTGTAAATTCTTTTAACTAATTTTGAAAATTTGATTATTATTTGTATTCTATATGATGAATGTGATTATGTCTTGAAACTGTATGTGCTGCCATTCTTGGCCAGGTCTCTCTTGCAAAAGAGATCTTGGATCTAAATGGGACAAACCTGGTTACATGAGCTGAGCCCGATTTGCAGACCGCGTTTTTAGTTTCTTTCACTAACAAGGTAAAATGCAACTCGGTATGTTGCTTGGATCATATTTGGCCTGCATAACGTTTCTTTCCTATATGTTTACTTAGTCTAGAGCATCACTGTCTGACATGTTTGATGTCAATGGATTCATTATAATCTGTAAAACTGTGTGATATCACAGGTGTTCTGCTTGCTTTAAACAGACACTACAGCCTATTTTTTCTATCAAATTTATCTTCACTTTGAATTACTGAAATTTTTAGTGGTGAATATAATGACTGAACAGGGTTCGCTTGGGATGTTGATATGGCTTAGCTTACCCTGCTCCTATGGTCAAGTTACCCCATACACGGGGTAAGCTGACCATAGGAGACCACTTTTTTTGGCATGTTATATTATCAAGACAGTTATGTTTACCCTCATTCTGTTGGTTTGCATAGATGAACAACATCTTGAAATATATGCAGATACACTAGTTAGAGACAAAACTATGATTGCCTTGATGTAGTGATCCGAAATGTAAAACATGACTCATCTTACCCCACTCTCCCCTATTATCATTTTCTAAATTGTAACTATCTTTTTTATGACGTTACCTGAGTTTTGAATTAGAAAGCATCAGCTTTATTTAGCTTTGCTTCATAGTCTGCAGATCTCAACTACTAACAACAGATTCATATAGTTTTATATTCAGCAGGTACATTTAGCAAGTTTTTCTCAGTCCCATCACCCCCTGGAAAACTTACAAAAAAAGATAAATAAAAAAAACAACTTTATTTTGAAGATACTATAACCATTGTCTAAATGGATCTAACTTCTCACTATAACAGCTGTAGCCACATGTTGCTAAGACATAGCCTGACAGACTTTCACTGACACAAATATACAGAATATGAGAGACAATACACACTACTGTGGGCGGAAACCAAAAAAAATACACACAAGAGGTACAAATGCGATTAAATTTGACAATACGTGGGCAAAAAAACAGCTACTCAGGCTATAAATAACACACATTATGCATAGCAATAGTTAACACTGTTATGCTAACATTACCATAGCAAACCAAATCAGATGGCTGCCTCCTTATACTTGTGTAACACAGACATTACCCACAGTTACGATAAATAAGGACAAAGGAACAAATAATGAGGTACTTGGACCGCATAAACCTAAGATTAAAATAAACGAATAAAACATTAAACACAATACGCTGTGTTTTCTTACCTGGCCGTAGTGGAAACTCATGTTTGATAGACTTTACTTCCTTCAACAAGGGAGCAGCGAAGGCGGACACACAGCAGTCCGTCCCCGCAATAACTATTGGGTTATTTCCGGGTCTGTCAAAACCGCACCCGCGTTCTCTGCTTCTGATTGGATGGCTGAGTGGAAAAGTCATGACGTCAGGGAAAAGGAGTATGAATCATTCTGTCCGTCACTCTTGTGAATTCAACTGAATAGTTTGTGGGTTAGTCAGTGATTTTGTAATCCTCGCATAAACACAGGGATTACCGGGGGTCTGAGTTTTGACCTCGTTGGTTTCAGACAGCCGAGTTTCCACAGTGCAGCTGAATGATTTGTGACTCATCTAAATAGTTACCTAGCTGGTGTTATCGTTTTATTTCAGACTTTGCTCAACTATTAGAGGTGAACTTTGGCTCGTTCTGGCTCTATTTGCAGATAAAACCTTTCCTCGAAACAGTTAAAACATGATAGTAAAGAAAATTCTGGTAACACTATAATAAACATAGTTTATAAATCGTAAATAGATAGTTTATTAATGTAAAATCATCATGTAAAAACAGCATATAGACCAATTATAAATGGCAAATAGTTTATTTATGTAAGTTAATAGTTACCTTACCATTAAAAAGCAATGAAATTATGATTAATGATTTTGAATGGACTATTAAAGGTTTATATAGGGTTTAAATTTTGGTCGTTAAACATCTAGATTAAAATGTGTGTCAGTAGCACTTTGTAAATGGTTAATATTTGGTTATTGTAAAGTTGCTGCTGGTGTTTGTTATACTTTGTTAATGATTAATAAGTGGTTTATAAACCACCTATAAACATTACTTAGATGGTTATTGTAAAGTTAGGGTTAGGTTTTTAAAATTGTAAAATGTACAATTTATTAATGGTCTGTGCTATTCATAAATGATGATTAAAGATTAATAAACTATCTGCTCACCATTTATAAATGGTCTATTTACCATTCATAAGTTATGGTTATTTTAAAGTGTTTTAAACAAGAAAAGATTTTTTAAACAAGAAAAAACAAAGAAGACACACGCTTAAAATTGTATTAATCGTGAAAAAAACTTTATACATCACAACAATAAATAGGCTTACAAAACGTGAAACAATGAAAAATCTTAATTTCACTTCATTCAAACAACTCTTTGTGGCTATTTCTTTTTCCCATGGTATAAATTTTGTTATACATGTGAAGGAGTTTATGAAGCAATTATTTATTACTGTGACAACTCAATATGTCAACAGAAGTCAAAGCAGTTCCTCACAGAGCATTTGATTTATATTGCATATGTTCCCTGAGGTGCCTTTTGCAGATTTCTCTGTTCCTACTTAAAGAAAGTGCCCTGTGTGCTTGATCTCATTTTACCCATTAGGGGTTGGTGTATATTTGGGGGAAAGTTTTTCATCTGATTTGGGAACTTCTGTAACATTTCATCCCTGCAGCTGTATTTACAATGTACCTGATAGCTTACACATACAACTGACACACAATATATGCAGAAAAAAACAACACAAACAGACACTTTCACAAACTCATGACACAAATCAATCCTAAAAAAATACTCTAAACCCTTAGGTCCCCTCAGTAACCTCAGTTTGAGGGGTTTATTTACATTGAGTGTGTAACATGATATATACGAAGAGCTCTATCAGGAATCTCTTTGCCGTTCAACAGCCACTCATAGTCTGATGAATGCTTTTGATTGCAGTGGTCCCTTTAGTATTTTCCTCAGTTTTTCAGCATGGCTGCTGCCATATTGTGTGTTATTTCTTCTTAGCTGGCTTCTCCTCTTCGTTGATGTTACTAAGGTTTTGGATGGACACCGTGGGATCCACTCTAATTGATGATCTAGGTGCTGCCAGCGGTGTCATCTCGTGATTCTCTGCGAACAACCTCCTCTCTGCTTCAGTCTTCCTTTTTATGAGTTTCTGGACGCGTTTGCAGATGAGGTAAATCATCTCACAGATGCACATAAAGATGCAGAAGGCTGAGGAGATCACCATGAAGAGGGTGAAGATCTTCTTCTCTGTTGGGCGGGATATGTAGCAGTCCACTGTGTTGGGGCAGGGATCCAGGGAGCACTTGGACAGGCGGGGCATGTCGTATCCTTCATAGACGTGGTACAGGATGTACAAGAAACCAGCGTCGAAGCCGGCCTTGAAAATCAGACTCACCTGCAAGAAAGATAAAGGACAGTTAAACAAGGCACTGCAGGCCGGAAACAATAACTAATGCGCAAGCTAGTTTGACCCTCCATCTATTAAACAATGTCAAGATGATCATTTTCTAGATTGGAGAGTTTAGAGAGAGGTGCATAGGATGCTGTCAAATCAGTTGTTTCCACTGAGAACAAATCATTAACAGTCATAGCAATGTTATCTCTGCACTTCTGTGCACAGTCGCTCATCCATGGCTATCATTTTCCAGATTCAGTTTGTCAAAAACATCTGTGTCACTCATTAGGGTATGACTATGAGCCGTAAAAAAGAAGTGGATGTCACCACTGTTGCACTGCCATCTGGTCAGCCTTAGGTACTTTTTAGAGGCCTTGATTGTGGCATTTTAGTCATCACTATCATAATGATTAAGAAACCAAAGTTGACCATATGTGGACCATAGAGTGAGACACATTACTCTGCATCAACACCAGTCGACATGTAGCAACATCCAGAAACATATCTTACTTTATTGTTTGGTTTGCACTGAAAAGGACCAAGATTTCCATAATAAGTTGAAACTTATTGTCCAGATTTACTTATTTTAAATGAGCTAGGGCTATCTGTCCCTTCTTCACTTACCAGATATGTCCACCACAACCCGCCACGTTTCTTCCCAGGGTTGGCATACAGATGTGCGCCCTTGTGCGAGGCGGTGTACTGCATGTCCTTCTTCTCACGGTACTTCACATGTCCCACGACCATAAGTGACGGGCAGGTGACAAAGATGAGCTGCAGGGCCCACAGGCGGATGTGTGAGATGGGGAAGATGTGGTCGTAGCACACATTGACACAACCAGGCTGGGCCGTGTTGCACACAAAGTCCTTGCTCTCATCACCCCATACTCTCTGGGCGGCCACCACGAACACCATCACCCTGAAGACGAAGACCATGGAGAGCCAGACACGACCGAACACAGTGGAGTACTTGTTGACCCCACTGAGGAGGGCTTCCAGAGCAGACCAGTTCATGACTGCTGCTTCAGGGGCAAAGGAGGGGACGGAGGAAGGCGAAAGCGAAGAAACTCCTCAGAGGACCGGGAGGGACGAGACTTTTTTATGTTCCCAACCTGAAAAATGAAAGACAGACAACGTTGGCAATGACAATAAAAGAGAAGTTCATGTTAATTGGGAAAAAACAAAAGGCCACATTTCTTTAAGAGGGGGCTCATGTGCTCATAATCGTAGTTAGTGGTGCTAGTGTGTAAATACTCCCTCATGTTGAATACCATGAAAAAGACTTTGTGCACGTTCATATCTTATTTCAAGTGTATGATGCAATTAAATCCAACAGTGCCCAAGCAGGCATAAACTCATAGCGGGTAACTGGCCAAATTGGTGTATGTAGAAAACATGTAGATGGAAATTGAAATGCACAAGTTGTGGTAATAATGTCAGTGTTTCTTAAAGCTCTTTTTCCCCTGTTAACACTAATACTTACAAGAGAGAGTTTTAAAAATCTCTCTCTTGATTGAAGTGACCTAAAACTCTTCACGTATTGATGCAAGGCCAAAACACTTGATACATTACATTTTCAGAAATATTCACAAATGTGTAAAGGGCCCTGAGTGACAGCAGCCTCTGGTTACTTAAGCAGAGTTATGAAATCTAACAATGGCAGCTGCCATATTAAAAGTGCTGACTCTACCTTAGATTCAGTCTGCCTGGCAAAAAGGCAAAGAGGCGAGGTTAAGTTGCCTGAAGCCTCCTGGCTGACAGCCACAGTGTGTCCACCTGTCAGTCAAGTTTAGTAAGCCGTGCCCCTAATCACACCTATTTGTTCAAAACTCATAGCCTTAAACGTTTGGTTATGAAACTTACATAATGTATGAATATCGAAACCTGATACTAGAACCAAAACCATTTATAACGCCAGATTGACAACTTTTTTTGTTGTTGTTGTTCCTGCTGTAAAAATTGACATTTTCACGTGGTTTATTTTAATTGGGTCTCCTGAGCTTTGGAACCAGCCCTCAAGTACACGAGAGAAACTGTAGTTCCTCACACTCCCACGCTGGCTGCATTTCTAAACGGCGAAGAACAAAGGTTGCGGCTCGTTGCTACAGTGATCTAATTTGGTATGAATGTAGAGGCTGATATGTCTGGAATTAATGTTCCTGAAATTCCAGGAAAAGTAAAATGTAAAAACTGGTTTCTTGGATGAGACCAACATGAAAGTACACGAGAAATAGCCGGCAGGGGGAACCTCTCAAGGTTATAATCACAACCAGGGTGAATAAAACTTTACAGACAGGGTTTCATGACACGACTCTTCAATATGGTTATTATCTCAACTGTGGTCTCAGTGTTTATGTCTTTTAAGATTCTGCTCTATGCTTTTTTTTAAACATCGACGTCTGTAGTGGCATTTCAGGGAGTGGCCTCCTGTAACTGAGGACAGACTGCTGATCATCATCTCCAAAGCCAAATACAGATCAGATATGGTTGCTCTTGCTCCTAATGAATCAAGATGAGGACAGCAGAATTCTCATAACTGAAAAGTGACTTATTATTGTTCTGCTTGCCTTACATAATATGTTTTATTTACAAAATAAAAACTGCAAGGCAACCACCAATATCTACCCCCTGCTTATGACACAGACTTCTTGTAATACACTGACAGTCTTTAAGTCCAAGTCCAAACCTGATGACACTGCAACTAAACCATCCGGGTTATTAACTAAGACTCGACAGAGTTACTCGAGAGCTCAAAAGGTGACTGCGCAACTGTTGACAAAAACTGATATTCCTGCCATGGATTATATAAAATGATGCTTTAGATATAGGCACCCTTGAGGTAAAGTCCTTATCCAAGAAGCCATAAATGACTGACTGCAGCATGAGCCAGAAACCATGCCACATTTCAACAGATGGGACGGTATAAAAACACATCAAATTTGTTTTTTTTTATTCTCCCCAGACATGGATTCTCTTTTTATAGTCAATTTACATCCAGCTGGTTTGTTTAGAGTTGTCTATTTAGTTTGGGGTTTTATATAATTAATGTCATACAAAAGGTGTAACGCCACGATTGACACCTTTGTTGACAAATGTTATTTTAGCAGTGTTGTACCATCAGGTAGAGGTAGAGGTGGCACAACAAGAATGATAGAAACCAAACGAACATGAGGAACATTGTACTTTCCATTTTTGTAAGTTATTCTCAAAACTAATGAACATGAGGAACATTGTACTTCCTATTTTTGAAAGTTATTTTCCAAACAAACTTAAGAGGCTGTTCTGCCTTGGTCTGTACAGGCCCAAGAAATCCTTCCTGTTTCAGCGATAAGTTAAATGTGTTGTGAAGGGGAAGGATGTCTATACAGCAGCCTTGACAGCAGATCCTGGTCTCTGACTTTAGTCACCACCAGTGTAATGTATTAGTGCCAGTCACAGGGGGAATCTTGCTTCCTACAGTCAATGTTTTGCATGAGATGGGTGGAGTTGGGTGGCATGAATATTTTGCGCGCTACATGATTTTTTAGATATAGATAATTCTATTGACACATTCTATTGATAGAAAACGTTTCAATTAATTGTACCTTTTAAATTTACATATACCGTGAGGTAGTTTTATTGGTCAGACACTATGAAGTAACGAGGTCCTTTTTCCTGTGCCGCAAACAAAAAACTGTTTTGTAACAGAGATCCGCTGTGAGGCAACAAATCAGCCAGACATTATTTTCCCAATCATTGCCTGTGTCATACCTGATCCGCGTTCGCAAACAGGGCCGCCTTTTCAATCCAGACTCGTTATACATCAGTGAGGTAGTCATCAATGAAGCCTCCCTGTGCTGAAAGGACAAACCAATACTCTGCACTCTATTAGTCAGCTATTTGCACAGTGTGGGTGCTCTCTGTAATCCCTAATGTCTTTTTGCAGTCTTTCATCTTTAAAGGACTGTTATAGGGGATTCCGTCGTGAATATTAAGCATGCCATGATCGTTCCATGGCTCTGCGCTCTGAAGGAGGAGGAGGGGAGTTTTAGCTGAAATATTACCTTCTGGACTTAATGGCCTGATCATGGTTGGACTTTGAAGACAGAGTGCTTATAGATCACCTGCACATTCAGCCAGCTCGGTTTTCCTCTGTGTGTTTGGTAACATAATGTATTCTTCTTCTGCATTTTCTGTCTCTCTCTGGAGATTTCAGGTGTCACAGGTTTAGTTGGAGTTGGGATATGTGGTACCACAGATGTAGTTGTCAATTATGTGGGAAAAAAAAACACTCACATACATATTTGATTTTGTTATGAAAGTGTAAACACAATTGGAGTCCACGGCGCTACTTAAAGGCAAATATTTTTTTTGCAGGATTTCTTTTCAGCAGCAGGAAGAAAAAAAGCCACCTCTTATGCATTTACATCTCATTCTGGCGAACGCTCACAGCCTGACACAGAGTGAGCTGGATAACAGACGCGCTGTTCACTGTTCCATTTCGGCTCTGTCTCGTCTAATCCGCAGCATTTTGAATTCAGAAACACTTTCCTTCAGCATCACTGTAGACAAATTGAGCTGTCAAATCAGTTGCTATTTTTCTCTCTCATCCAGCATTCTTCAGTATTAAATTACACGGCATAAAACAGACTTGACTCAATGAGCGGCTGCAGATTCGCACTATAACGGACTGAACCTCAAAAAGGTTCAATCACTTTACCTTTTCATCCTGAGTGGATGATAAAGCCACTTTTATTTATCTTATAAAGCATTTTTTGGAGCAGTCCTCCTAAAATGCATCCTTGTTTTGAACCATTCTTGGATCTTGCAGTAGAGGCCTGGCAAATCCAGGGAACGCATGTTCAGACACAAACACTCTGACAGAAATCAATGTACAGCAAAACTCATTATTTCCCACAGACAAACAGAGCGTGCAGTTTATCAGCGTGATTTCTTCCTCAATTTTAAACAAATGCACTCCGAGGCGACGCGAACTTTAAGGTGACAATCAGCTTCACACGGGAAAGAAGAAAAACACCTCGGAGTCAACAGTATATCTTGTCTCTGAGAGATGGCAAAGCTGGACCACAATTTGTTTTTCTATTTACTCTAGATTGCAATGTTGCCTTCCCTGCCGACAGCAGCCGGCCTCGTCTATCTCTTTGCTGTGTATTTGTCTTTTCTCTTTGTTGTGGCAGATGGGGAAATATTGCATTTCCTCAAATGAGAAAACCTTGAGTTTTGTGATGATTTGATTCCAATAAGTGTGGGTTTTCAGCACATTATTGGCAATTACAAAAAGTGTATGAGTTTTGATTATCATGAGGGGAAATCAATGTCAATAAAGTGAGGTAGCATCACTCAAATATAATCACTCCTGGGTAGAAAAACCCTATTGAAACTGACAGAATTCCTCTCTATCCTTGGCGCATTCTGTTTACACCTTGGGTACATAACCAGCTCATCTAAAACAGATAAATCCTCGCCTGCTCTCTGACTTGCTCTACAGGTTCAGCTAGTCGCAAATACTTCTCTATCTGCCAACCAACTTCTTTGTCAGTGTGAGTCAATGCTCCTGGCTAACAAGGTGGGGTTGAAGTTCTGCGTTTGCTTTTTTCTGTCTCCTTTATTCTCCTCAGTCCCAGCTCCTGCTTTTCATTCTTTTTCTGTCATTTTGCACAACTCACTTTTCTTTCTGCCTTCAACCTGACTTTATTCCATTTTTTTTCAAGGGAACATGAATCAGCCGGAGGAGTGAAGCTCAGGAAATCCATGTATAGTTTTATTCCTGGCGCTACGAGTTATCTGTCTTTACAAATCTCATTCTTTTGTATGTACTGAGGTTGAGCTTTTTTCCTTGACACACAGGATCTTCCCTCAGTGTATGGTTAAAAAAAGGAACACATGAGTAATCCTCCTGCCCTTTTACTGTCCCTGTCTCTTACTCTGTCTTCTCCAATCCCACTCTTCAGTTTAAATCAGACTAAAATTCCCAAACCCACCCACGTTTGAAAACATTTTCTAGATCTAGTACTATTTAAAACATTTAAAAAAAAAATCACCTTACCTTAGACACAGATGTTTTTTAACGTCTCTCCTAACTTTGGAGAGGGAGCGTGTCCCAGCTGTCCTTGTGTCAATGTTTAGCGTCTCTAGTCTCACCTGGAGATTCTGTGAGGGCTGGCTGTGAGGTGTGGACCTACTCGAAAAGCTCAGGAAAGGGTGGAGCATCAAACAAAGTCACACTGGCAGTTCCAATCTGGGCTTGTTTTGCGTGAGCAGGCTTGCCTCGGGGTATTTTGAGGAAGGACGGGCGAGAGATAGCATCAGAGAAAGGAAAGGGAAACAGTTTCATGGTAGCAGGAAAGGAAAATGGTGTAATAATAAGAGTTAGACCAACATAATAATAATAATAATAATACATTTTATTTAAAAGCGCCTTTCTGGACACCCAAGGACACTGTACAGGCATTAAGAACACAGTTAAAACACTTTTAAAATAAATAAAAACAATATACATGTATGGAAATGGACAGTTAAAGGGAGTAAGCAACAGGTCTGGTTTAGAGTTTTTAAAACCGATGCAAATCAGATCACCAGGATGCAAATTAGGCAGGGCCTCTTGGGTCAGGGGCAGGCGACAGTAGTTTAAACTTAAAATCTCACGTGTAGATGCTTAAATAATGGGGAAAGTGTTGCTGCTTTATAGTGGGGAGAGTGGGGTAAGATGAGCCATTTTTCATATTTCAGATATATCATGGTTTTGTCTCTAACTCGTGTATCTGCATATATTTCAAGATGTTGTGTTTCCCTGCAAACCAACAGAATGAGTGTAAACATAACTCGATAATAGTCTCGATAATATAGCATGCCAAAAAAAGGGGTCTCCTATGGTCAACTTACCCCACATGGGGTAAGTTGACCATAGGAGCGGGGTAAGTTGAGCCGTATCCCTACAAACCCCCCACTCTCCACCCCAGTCCTCCCTCACCTTCTCTCTCCCTAAATAACAGTCACTTCTTCACATTCATGTGTATTTTTTATCTATTATACGCTATCCAACTGGCCTCTCATCAGACTCCTTTACTTTCTCAGTTGAGTCACTTGCTCAACTTACCCCAGAACTACTATGATGACTTTATTAGTCCTCTAAACTAAAATGGTGGACTTTATGCTAGGTTTTTGACCTCATGTTGGAGCTCATAGATACCACAATTGATGTACAAAACAAATATAAAATGATCTTTTTTGATCTGAACACTATTCTAATAAAACTTATGACATATAAATGTCTAACCCCTTCACTCATGTGCTTCTAACCTTCACAGACTCCATCAATTGTTGCCCATCTCCTAAATATTTGGTCACATGATCAATTTCTTTGACCATTTCCCAGCAACAGGGGGTGGCTCAACTTAAACACACATAAACACACAAAGAGGAAAAAATGTGGGGGATTCAGACCTAGCCTTTTAACTCAGAATGAATGTAGAACAACTCTTTCAACATGTGGAATAAAACATGAAAGAAAACACCCTGGAAAAGAGCAGAGTTTTAAAAGGTAACCTGTATTAATCCTGCTGATATCACATAATAAACTCATGACTATGCTAAAACATCCCCCAAAACGCCCTTTGGCATTGTACTCAAATTCTAGTCTCACTTCTGTATCAGATTTCCTTCTGTCTCCCCACATAAGGGACCAGAGAAACCATCACATGACGGCTGATCCTGTGTGACAGATGTGTCTTCATGGCAAACTATCCCATACATTCCACAGGAGGGAGGGATCACCTTCAATAGTCCCATGTCTGTTAGTTTGTTTTGTCACTGTTTGTTTGTTTAGCTGTTTTTTTGATTTGGTTCCCAAGTTACCTGCCGACACACCCACGAGCCAGCTGTGTCGTCATAATCACAGCAAATGCAAAAAATATTGAAGCATACAGATATGTTTGAGTAAAGACCACGTATAATTTGTAGATAATCAATACACTTTTTGATTTAATGTTGAATGGAAGTGTGAGTCAAAGGAAAAGAATGCAAGACCTCGGGATAATTACTGAGATCAGTTAGGGAGTGGCAAAGTCCTGACAGGCAACCAGCTTGCACCTCCCATACAAGCCACAAAGCAGGTTCTCTTATTCAGTTCCTACTTTTACAAAACAGCAGTCTGCACTTTCAGAGAAAAGGGATATTGTTTGTTCCCGCTTTACAATAGACTGAATTCTGGTATGATTACAGTGGTATCATTCATTTAAGGAGAAGAATAAAAAGAGACTGACAAAGAGGGACAAATGCCTCTCGACGAAGAGTATGTTATGTCCTGGACCGGCCTCTAGAGAATGCTGATGCTCCATGGTTTCATTATAACTCCTTTTTCAGTCTGAGTGAGAAGACAGGACAGAAGGAGGAAAAGAGGAGAAATGTTAAATAGACAGAGAGACAGAGAGAGGATCTCATCTCTCCCATTAAAACTAACCAGCCACATCATCTGTGATAAAGAAAGAGGCAGCATCCATGCAGAGATACAGAGTGGGTTGTCAATTGTGATATGACTGTCCAAAAAAAAAAAAGCTGTTTTAAAAGAACTGACCAAGAGATTTGATATTTTCAACACCAGCGGCATTTTGATGAGACTAAATATGTCATCATAACACAACAGCAGCTATGATCACCCTCTTCTTAGGGGCTGTCTTCACATCACCATTCACTTTGGCATGCAGAGTATACAGCCAATCAGATGGTGCTATCTTAACTCAGATAAGACAGCCTGTCTTTGCTCTTTCTCATGATGAGGACGGAGCTGGAAATTATCTGTCTGATTCATTCTTGACCCGAATGAACCCCCAAGTAACATAACCACCTTCCTCCACAGAAAGTCGATGCTGAATCTGAATTTTGAGCGACTGTTCAGTTCATTCAAGCATCTTTCACGGAGGCATCGCTTATATTCCACTGCAGCACGTCTGCAAACAAATGTGCCAGGATCCCTTTGTCAAAACGAATCCAACAGAATGAAAAGCTATCGGAGGTGTGTTGATTTTGCTCGAAAGATGTATGACTCACAGCTCTCTTTATTGAAAGATATTTGCAATAGGCTGACAGGTACATAAGTCACTCACTCCTGTGAGTCTGTGGGGTAAAGTTAGAAACAACAACTCATGAGGAGCCTGGCTAAAAGTATGGATTCAAAAGAGTTTCTAAAGCCTAGAGCATGAAAAGCAACCCACGCTGAAAGGAAGAGGAATCAATGGATGATGTCTTTCTGATTGTAATGAGGTAACATTTTGGGCGATGGTCGCCAAATGCAGCTTATGTCCAAGCCTGTAATGAAAGCTCCAGTAATGTCGAAATGAGAGGACTGAACCAAATGAGTGAGTTACTGACCCCTTCGCCCACACTACTTTCAGTTTTTACTGCATACATTAAAACACTCTAAAATGTAGTTTACATCTCTGGATTCAGAATAGTCTGCACATCGGTGCTGGAGTGACGGTTTTCTCATGACTTAACTGATGTAGTGACTATGCTGACCTGAATTGACCCGCTTCTAGTACAATCCAATGTACAACCCAAGGTTGCTGTTGAGTTTTCTTTTTGCCATTTATTGATTTAATGAAAAACAAACAAAAAAAAGACAGATACGTCCAGCTAACTATGATGTTGATGTCTGTTTCCCAGATTACTGCTTCACCTGTGTCTCTTTGTAGCATTTACCTGCCCATTCACCTGAAGTCCCCCTTGTGGTGATTGTGCAAGTAACAAAACAAACCCCAAAAATGATAAAGATAAAATGGCTCATACAACTGACAATAAACAAAGTTTGAGGATGTGACTGCCTGGGACAAAGTAATTCATACCCATCCTGCTTGTCGTACTGTTGCCAATAAGTGCAAATAACCGGCAATGGCCTGAGTTTGAGAAATAAGCCACACAGCAGTACCTTTGTCAGTGACGGTACTCTAGCTTAGTCACTTCTGGCTCTAAAATCCAAGATAGCAACGGCCAAAGTTACCATAAAACTTGATGTTTTATCAAGGATGTACAAAAGGATTCCTGGGATTTTGAGTTAACCCTTTAATGCCTGAAAGCACAAATTATGGCCAGAAAATTCAAATGTTTTGGAGCTGAAATGTTTATTTCACTTACTACTGAAAACCCAAATAATCAAAATGTCCTTAAAATGTAACAAATATATTTATGTATCTTGTTTGACACATAAGATGTTTTTGGAAACATTTTTATCATTTATCGGACTGTATTAAGGTGTTTTTTTTAGTAATTTGTTGATCATATTGATTGATAGAAGTATCGTAAAAGTATGTATCAAAAGGCAGTAAAGGGCTAAGCCTCAGGTGGACGCTGAGGGAACTGCGTTTGATTTATGCTCTAGCACTGAGGAGCGTAAATCAACTTTTAACAGTAGAGGCTGCTCACTTGGTCTGACTCAAAGTTTCAAAACATAGTCCACAAGCAGCATGCCATCTAAGCCACAGTCACTTTGTTAATAGTTTGTGGTACAGAAAATACAGAACTGATCTGCACTGGACAACAAAGAAAATGAGGGTAATGTGTAGGAATATTGGTAAAGCAACAAAAAAAGTCCCAGCACTCACAAAAACTGTAAAAATGGAAAGGGAGGCAAAGGTTCAAACAGGTTGTCGTTCAGTAAATATTAGTATTGGATGTAAAGAGGAAAATCTCAGCGATAAAAGCTGACAGTTATCCTGTCTGATGTCTATACAGAGCTATCGCTGTTCATTTGACAGTGATGTACTGATGTTTAAAAAATGCTACACACAGCTTTTCACTTGAAAGGTCTGAACTGTTTAACATCAAATATCCAAACTGCTGTATCCATCCGTGCTGACACAGTCATCCTGTCTGGTCTTATGCCTTGTCTGTCTGATCATCCTCAACAAACCTCCTCCCGACAACTCACCCTCTCCACCTTTCCCTCCCTCTCCCTCTTCTCCTGCCTCCCCACCACCCTGTCCCTGTCCAGAGACCTGTCCCATTACTGTCACAGTCGTTGCTCCGGCTTAGGTCATTCCCCAGCGTGTCGGAGCTGGTGACACAGTCTGCCCCCCCTCTCGCCTAGTATTGTGACAGAACCGTGTCTGCACCGCCACTGTGGATGATGTCAGGGTGCCCCCTTAAGGAGGTCACCATCTTCTCTCTGTCTTTCTCTGCCTATTACCCTTACTCCAAGGGGTTCTGGTCAGTGGGAGGAAAGGTTTGTGGAGACAAAAAACTATGTCAGCTGAGAGTCACATATTAAATCCAGTCAACCAGCGTATCATGTGGAGTTTGGCATAACACACA